AATCATGGTTTCTCAGCTGTGGCACTGTTGACAGGACTGGGTCATTGTCGTGAGGACTGTCCCATGTGCTGTTTAGCAGCATCTTTGGCTTCTGCGCCTGAGGTGCTAATAGCCACCCCAGGTTGGGACAACCAGAATGGCCTCCTGCATTGCCAAATATCCCCCGAGGGGCAAAATCTCACCTGATTTGAGAACCACTAGATCCTCAAGTGAGTTTGAACAAAGAGGGCCTAAAAGATTCCTCAGCCTTTTCTACAGGCTGGGAGTTCTTAGGGAATATTTCTTCTAGCCTTTGTCCCATCAGTGGCCTCTCTGAAATTATTCCCAACATGTTCCATTTCTTGTGGGGCTGACATTGGACAGGGTGGACTCAGGGAACCCTAGTTGTCTGGAGTGCGGGTTTTTTTCTTTATTAAAATATAGTTTACATATCATAAAATTCACTTTAAAAAAAAAGTAGATTGCATGTCTTTTTTAAAAATATTTTATTTATTTATTTGTGAGAGAGAGAGGGGAGAGAGCACAAGCAGGGGGAGGGGCGGCGGAGGAGCAGAGGGAGAAGCAGGCTCCCTGCTGAGCAAGGAGCCTGATGCGGGGCTCGAGCCCAGGACCCTGGGATCATGACCTGAGCCAAAGGCAGACACTTAACTGACTAAGCCATCCAGGCGTCCCAATCCCAAAATTCACTCTTTTAAAATATACATTTCCAGGGCGCCTGGGTGGCTCAGTCGTTAGGCGTCTGCCTTCGGCTCAGGTCATGATCCCAGGGTCCTGGGATCGAGTCCCACATCAGGCTCCCTCCTCGAGGCGAAGCCTGCTTCTTCCTCTCCCACTCCCGCTGCTTGTGTTCCTGCTCTCGCTATCTCTGTCAAATAAATAAAATCTTTAAAAATAAATAAATAAATAAATAAATAAATATAAAATAAAATAAAATATACAATTCCTGGGGCACCTGGGTGGCTCAGTCTGTTAAGCGACTCTTCATTTCAGTTCAGGTCATGATCTTAGGGTCCTGAGATCCAGTTCAGTGGAGACTGTGCTTCTCTCTTTCTCCCTCTCCCTATGCTCCTTGCCCGGCTTGTGCACGCATGCTGATGCGCACGCTCTCTCTCAAATAAATAAATCTAAAAGAAAACAAACATCGAAAGTATACAATTCCCTGGTTTTAGTATATTCACAGAGTTGTGCAGATATTACCACTGTCTTATTCCAGAACATTCATCACTATGAAGAGAAACCTCGTACCCATCAGCAATCACTAATGTACTTTCTCTCCCCATGGATTTGCCTATTCTGGACATTTCATATAAATGGAATCATACAAATGTGGCCTTTGTGATGGGCTTCTTTCACTTAGCAGGATGCTTTCAAGGTCCATTTGTATTGTACTTTGGTCCTTTTTGCCTGAGTCATATTCTGCTGATTAGGTATACAGCATTATCCATCAGTTGATGGACGCTTGGGTTGTTTCCACATTTTGGCTAGTAAGAATATTGCTGCCGTGGACATTCATATATAAGGATTTGTGTGGACATAGGATTTCCTTTCTGTGGGGTATACATAAAGAGTGGCATTGCTGGGTCTTATGGTAACTTTAGCTTTTTGAGGAACTGCCAAATTTTTTTCCATAGTGGCAGCACCATTTTACATTCCCGTCAGCAGTGTGCAGGTTCTTCTCTCCCCATATCCTTGTCAAACTTGTTTCTGTCCACTTTTTTGATAACCATCCTGGTGGCTGTGAAGTGGTATCTCATGGTGCTTTTGATTTGCATTTCCCTAATGAGGTTGAGCCTCTTTTCACATGCTTATTGGTCATTTGCATATCTTCATTGGAGATGTGTGTTCAGATGTCCTCAGCACTTTCAAAAATTAGGTTACTTGTGTTTTTATGGTTGAGTTGTAGGAGTTCATATATATATATTCATATATATATAAATTTTGGATATTAGACCCTTATCAGAAATGTGATGTGCAAATGTTTTCTTCCATTGTGTGAATCGTCTTTTCATTTTCTTGGTAGTGCCTTTGAAATACAAAAGTTTGAGATTTTGATGAAGTTCGGTTCATCCATTTTTTTCCTTTGGTCACTTGTGTTTTTGATGTTCTTAGAAACCATTGCCTAGTCCCAGGTTACAGAAATTTACAACTTGGTTTTCTTCTGAGAGTTTTATAGCTTTAGCTCTTATATTTAGGTCTTTTGTCCATGTTGAGTTAGTTTTTGTTTACGGTGTGAGGTAAGGGGTTCCAACTTCATTTTTTTGCAGTGTGGATTTTGATGGCAAGGAAAGAAGGCAGCACTTCTCTCCATGGCCAACTCTGAGATGGGGATTGCATGGGCCAGGGCAACCCTGTGTTGCTGTGAGTGGGCACACCTCGGCACTGGGCCTGTTGCTGTGCTGTTTCTCTCCAGATAGCTGTGGCTTCTGGAACTCCTGGGACTCCGTGACAAACTTCATGCCATCACCCCACGAGCAGAGGTTTTCAAATTCAATGAAACGAATCCCCACAAAGAATTTCTAGCACACCATTTTTTTTAACTGATTTTTTTTTAAATTTCATTTATTTATTTGAGTGAGAGAGAATGAGAGATAGCACGAGAGGGAAGAGGGTCAGAGGGAGAAGCAGACTCCCCGCTGAGCAGGGAGCCCGATGCGGGACTCAATCCCGGGACTCCAGGATCATGACCTGAGCCGAAGGCAGTTGCTTAACCAACTGAGCCACCCAGGCGCCCTCTAGCACACCATTTTGTGGCAGGATGTCAACCAGTGGACTCGGGAGGCAGGCCATTTCCAGACCCTTTAAGCCTTTTTTTTTTTTTCCCTGAGAGCGAGAGCATGCACAAGGGGCAGAGGGAGGGGGAGAAAGAATCTCAAGCAGGCTCCACGCTCAGCACCAAGCCTGATGTGGGCTCGATCTCACAGGCCTGAGATCATGACTCAAGCCAAAACCAAGAACTGCTGCTTAACTAACTGAGCCACCCAGGTGCCCCCCCACCCCCACCGTTTATTCTAAGTCCATCATTTGACCTCTTTGTGTCCCAGTTCCTCCTTTGTAAGCTTGGGGGTGATGACCCCCAGCCCTTGAGCATTGGAGGAGGCTGTGCAGTGACAGTAAAGGACCTGCAAGAGCAGTGGGCCCACCGGGACTCACCAGGTGCCAGCCAGTACTGGCTGCCCTGGTAAGGAGAGGCACTCAGTTCTTGGCAAAGGTGGCATTTCTGTCATTGTCTTATTTTAAAGCCAGTGGACTAGGACAAAGATACTTTTCGAAATTTGAACCATTTTTTTTTTTTTTTAAGATTGTATTTATTCATTCATTTGTATGAGAGCAAGCAAGCGAGCTGGGGGGAGGAGCAGAGGGAAAGGGACAAGCAGACTCCCCGCTAAGCGCGGAGCCTGACGCAGGGCTTGATCTCACGATCCCAAGATCATAATGTGAGCAGAAATCAAAAGTTGGATGCTCAACCGCCTGGCCACCCCGGTGCCTCAAACGGTTACCGTCTTGATGTCAGCCTTAGCATTCACCTTCGTCCTTTGTCTCAGCTGCAAGTACTGAGGCTGTAAGTGAGGACAGATTTCTCTGTAACTTATGGCCTTGGAGCTCTCTCCAGTGAAACTTGAGGCTTGAATCTCTCAGTAGGGAATTTTTACTTAAAGCCAAATTGCACATAACATACCTGACTCTTGCTAGAATGCCTCATCATGGTCATGAAATAAAAGTTACATAGGGGGCGCCTGGGTGGCTCAGATGGTTAAGTGTTTGCTTTCGGCTCAGGTCATGATCCCAGGGTCCTGGGATCGAGTCCCACATCGGGCTCCCTGCTTAGCAGGGAGCCTGCTTCTGCCTCTCTCTCTCTCTCTCCCTGTCTCTCATGAATAAATAAATAAAATCTAAAAAAAAAAAAAAAAAGTTACATAGGGTCCTCCCCAGTGCCGTGTGATGGGAGTCCCTTGTCTGTGCCCCATTACCAAGGGCTCTGTGCTCGAGTACGCTCCCAGCAGGAGTGCTGGGCTGGCCCGGGGTTACTCCTTGAGCATAGGCACAGGCGCTTCAGGATGTACGTGGTCGCGGGCTCTGCCTGCGCAGACGTGCTCAGAGTGGCAGCCGCCGAGCTACAGCCTGACCAGTTCATGGCGCATTTGTGTGCAGCTCAACTCGGGATCCTGGCAGGCACCCGACTGACGGGTCTATAACCCATTTAGGGATGGGTGTTACTGGTTTTTTTAAGTGTAGCTAATTTTATTTTAATTGCATTTTTTTTTTTTGAGGTATAAAGAATGTCTTTTTTAAAAAATGCTTCTCAGTTCAGACCTTTGTGGCACCCCGAAGCACTTTAGGTCCCTTCCGCCTAGATTGGGTGAGGTGGGGGGGGGTCACCTGTCCGCACAGGTGACCTCCTAGCAGAATCTGTAGTGACTTAGACTGGGGGGGGTGGTACTGACTCTGCACACCTTTGCTCTGTATGCAAGGCTGGCTTAACCAGAACTCTGAGGAGGCCAACAAAATTCTCTTCTCAGGAGAGATTTGTACCGTAAGATTTGTACCATAAACTCAGGGGCCGAGGCATCCCTGTGTTCTCTCTGATGAAGTCTCCGCAGGGGGAGACAAGCCTGGGAAACTAGGTAGTGTTGCAAAAGTAGACAGTGTAACAGCAGCGTGCACTTCCTGTGCCCGGAAGAGCGGAAAGCAATTGTCACATAGTTTGCTTTTTAGATTGCTCAGAAGTAAAAAACCTGCTCTCCGCTTAGCATCAGCCCTTGACCGTCGCTATCTTGCAGCTTTCTGTGTTTTCCAGAAATGCCAACCTTGTCCCCTGAGGGGGTGTTGAGGGCAGCTGCCCGAAGAAATGTAACATTGTTAGGTGTGGATGGATGGCAGGGAGCCCCTTCCCGAGGGAGACCTTCTGGGAGCCCCAGCGTCACTAGCACGGGCCAGAGAGTTGCTGCTCAGGAACCTGCCTCTTTCAGGGCTGACCAGGTGATGCTCACAGCAGCGGGCTGGGGAAGTGCTGACTTAGACTCCGGCCACGGCGCTTAAAACTGTTGGTAGAGAAACGAGCGTTTGGATCATTCCAGGCTCTTACTAATCTTCAGTTCTTTACTGCAGTCAGGGAAACTAAATTGAGTTTAGGTCGTTGTAAGAGACTGAAGTTGAACTTCGGCCTGAACGGAGAGCCTCTCTCCTCCCTACCTGGAGCCCTCTCCTGCTCAGAGCCTGTGTTGTCCTGATGGCCCCTTTGCATCTGACCTTGGATCTTGCCAGACCCTGTGCTTCTTAACGCTGGGGCTGTGTTTGCTCATTTCCGCCCCCACACTGGGCTTTTTGTCCACTTGTGATGCCGAAGGGGGGTTCTTCTCACACTGTGTGTAAACTGAATTTTGAGCAGCTTAAAGAAATAAACACATTTTTAAAAGCTAGCATAAAGTATTAAAAGAAAAAGAGGAATATCTCTATAATCTTAGGATGGGGGAAGAGCCCTGAAGTCACAAAGGAAAAGAATCACATATTAAACAACCTTTATAAAGATGAAGCATCTCTGTGTGTCAGGAAAACCACCACAAAGGTAAGAGGCCTGCATGACAGGGAGAAGATATTTGCAGCATATAAACAACCGTCAGCATATCCATCATGTATGAAAGATAAGGAGACAAACCACAAAGAAAAACAGGAAAAGGACACTCTGTCTCCTGCAACCTGGTGCCTTTTGAGTCCCATCAACATGTGAATCGCACGTCCTCGTGGCCGGGATGTTCCCATGAGTCATGAAGGCAACCGCGTGGTCTCCGTCCAAGCCTGTTTACCAAAAGTCCCGTTGGCTGCCATCTGTCAGTTCGTTAAAATTCTTACCTGCCCGATGTTGGGCTGGGGGCCGTGGGGTCCTGCCATCCCCAGGATCACACACGAAAGTGCCGAGGCAATGGCTTATGTACAGAGATAGACTTCCAGGCCAAGTCGCTTTGCTGCTTCCTGGCCATGTAACACTGGAGAGTACAGCAACTCTCCACCTCAGTTTGCTCATCTGTGAAACGGGGTTCAGGATGCCATCTTCGTCACATGGGGCGTTGGGGCCGTGGAGTGAGCCAGGCGCTCAGGCATTGCCCACCATGGTGTAGATCCCAGCACGCCAGCTCTGAATATGACTGACGGCTTAGTCTTTCAAGCCTCCTGAAAGGAAGTCCTTTCCTGCCTCTTTCTTAGGACCCTGGGGCCATGGGGACTGTTGCAAGGCTTGAAGGATGAGCACAGGCAGAGAGCCAGCACTCACTTTCTTAAGGCACCTTTGGAACATGAACGAAAGTAGAAACGGTCACTCTCAGAAGAAACAGGACTTCCTCTCAGCCACGCCCTCTCCCGGGATCCTCTGGGGCCAGTTTTGGGGGCTGCTGGCTTCCCAGCTGACTGCCAGGATCGCCAGGCTTGGCCAGCCTCCCAGGCCTCATGCCACAGCCAGGGCCTGTGCATGCTGAGTCACCGCGATAGTCCGTTCCTGTTCTTCCTTTGAAGCGACATTCCAGATGTCCACAGGACTGGAGATACTCCGTTTCCCCTCCTGGGCAATTTGATTTATAGTTTACTCTCTCCCCTGTCGTACGTTACAAGCTCTGTTTGTTTTATTAGCTTTCTAGAGAGTTGACATTGCAGCAACAGAGAGAGAAGATGGCCGGGAATGTGAGTCTGAGGGCCTGGGGGCAGGGGAACTCTAACTGCGGGTTGATTTCGGGTTGATTTCTCTGCAGGAGATAAACGGCATCACTGCGGCACTAGCTGAGGAACTCTTTGAAAAAGGTATGTGGCCGGGAGTCCCCAAAACAGTGGCCACTCGCCCAGACTTGTCAGGCAGCCGGGATCCAGGGTGGCACGGAACTCCTGCCAACGAGTGCTCCCCAGGGCCCACCTCCCCAGGGTTGCTCAAATCCCTGGGCCTGGTCCACAGCCGAGCCTGCCTGTCTACCTGCCCACTGGCCCTACAGGCAGCCAGGTCTAAGAAGCTGTGGTCTTTTACCTTAGGACTCTTGAGTCCCCGTGTCAGGGGCTAACCCCAGGCTCAGGATCTAGTCCAAAGCCCTGTGGTGGAGTTCTGGAAGGTGGGTGGCCTGCTGCCATCTTGCACCTGCTTTGTCCTTACCTGAGAGAGTTGAGACGTCAAACAGAGGCGAGTCCTGGGTCATGACCCTGCCAAAGAGCCTCGTAACAGGAGCTAATGTGTAGTGAGTGCTCCTGCCGTTCAGCCTCGTGTCGGGCATCTCCCCGCCTTCCTTCCAGGCGGTGCCGATGAGGTCACTGAGGACAAGAGGGTGCCTGGCCGGGAGGAGCAGAGTGAGGACTGTTGGGAACCCCGCCTGCTCGCAGGTCCTGCGCTGGGCTGGCTCCTTAGACCCCACCTAACCTCGGGCTGTGTGCAGGTTGTAGCGTGGATCTGCTGCCCCGACATGCCTCACGCCGGCTTGGTCCCAGCTCAGTGCCGCAGATTTTGACTCGGCCTCGCCTCAGGGAGGCTCCCCAGTCGCACATTCTCAGGGCCCTTCCCTCCTTTGTAATCGTGTGTCCTGGGTCTGCCCTGTGCCCAGCGTGAGCTCAGGACCATGGCTTCGTCCTGAGGGTGCTTGCCTCATGCTTGCTAGCTGTTGGCCAGGGGGGCAGACGCCCTGGCTGCACAGTGGGGCTGGGGCCGGGCGCTCACCCTGGGGGCACGGCTGTTGCAGGAGAACAGCTCCTGGGGGCTGGCGAGGTCTTTGCCATCGGGCCCCTGCAGCTGTACGCGGTCACTGAGCAGCTGCACCACGGAAAGCCCACGTGTGCCAGTGGGGACGCCAAGACTGACCTCGGGCACATCCTGGACTTCACCTGTCGCCTTAAGTACTTGAAGGTAAAGCTGTGGCAGCTTGGAGAGCCTCTCGGTTGTGGGCATGGAGCCCAGGTGGGGCCGAAGAGCTCACTGGCTGGCAGTGTGTGTGAAGGTGGCTGAATGGGCCCTGGGACCTGGATGGCCACCTTCGGTGTTCTTGGCACTGCACTTCTGGCAGTGAGCACCAGGGGGCAGTCGTGACCTGGGGTCCCCTTGCTTTAAACTGTGGCTTTAGCCTGCTTTGTTGACCACGCAAGTGGTCAGTGGAGGTACGTGCCTCCTGCGCCTCACGTAGCCCGGCAGAGCCGCGACACCCCGCCACGAATGTGGCCGGGGAGCACTTGCAGCAGCGTCCCTGATTCAAGCCCTGTGTCTGGCCACAGGTTTCTGGCACAGAAGGACCATTTGGAACCAGCAACATTCAAGAGCAACTCCTGCCTTTTGATCTGTCAATATTCAAGGCTCTTCACCAGGTGGAGGTAAGACCCAGGACCCCTGGAGTGTAGGTGGGGCTGAGCCCACGCGGGTGTGGTCTTGCTTCTGATTACTGTGGCTAGAGAGTGTGTCTGGGCTTACCCGTCAGGCCTTGTTGCTTCCGTGTTTGTCAGTATGTGACAGACCCCTGCTAGGCAAGTCGGGCCCATCTGAAGGTCTGGAGAGAGAGGGCCCTCTACTGCTCTTGGCTGGTCTGCATGTCTGCTCTGGGCACAGGCAGCGTGTGGACAGGGTGGAGCTCCAGCACTTGGCTCTTTCTCCTCATGGCTCAAGTTGAAGTGCTGGGAGGGCGTCCTGAGGGTCAGGCAGAGCCAGTTCCAAATCTGTGCCTCCCAGGGCACACCCACAGAGGGCGTTGAGGGTTCTCTGCCCTCCGGTGTGCCCACACCTAGCAGGAAATATTTTGTGTTACTCACTACCAAATTCCTGGGTTCATGATGTCAGTTTTGTTAACATTTTTTAAATGCAAGGGGCCTCAGTAACGGATAATTTTTAAAAATGCTTTAAAGCATCTATTTCTGGAGCATGCCTTCTGTGTTCAGCCCTGTGTCCTGATGGACGCTTCTCGATGGAAGCTTCCCAACAGCCCTATGAAATGGGTATTTTTATTCAGAAGACTGAGGGTTCGGGAGGTAAGGAAGTTTGGCCAGGACCACACAGTCAGTGAGGGAAAGCTGGGATCTGAATTCAGCCAAGTCTAACTCCAGAGCGTCTGCTACCCATGGGACTATTCTGCCTGCACCATTCTGGGCTAGTCCCAGAGACCTTGAGGACCACATCCCTTGATGGGAACCTATGGTGTGTGCCTTCACCAGAGCTGGCTGAGGAAGGACCGGGGAGTTAGAGGAGTGCCTGACTCAGCCTCTGCTCGCAGGGTGAGGCCCCACAGTTGGAACCTGTAGGTGGGTAGTGTTCATGGGCGTGCTTGGGCGTGTAGCCCTCCCTCCTCGCTGCAGGACAACCAAGGCCAGCGAAGCAGGGCTGGGTGAGCAAGAGGGCCCATCGTACTCACTGTGTACCCAAGGCCCTTTGCTCTCAAGTTGTGCTTTCCAGAGCTCGCTTTTCCTGTCCACCTGCCAAGCCCTAGTCAGCCCTTACAGCCTTTTCTGAGATGCAGCTGTTTTTTGTTCCAGATAAGTCACTGTGGTGCCAGGTACATCCGGGGACTCGTCGCGTCAAAGCCCACCCTAGCCACAATAAGCGTCCGCTTCTCCGCAACCTCTATGAAGGTGAGCTCCACCCGTTTCCTGCCGGGGCATGAGGGGCAGGGTCCTGCGCTGACAGGTCGCGCTCCTCCGTGCTGAGGGCCGGTGTGAGCGTCCCAGCTGTTGCTGGACACTGGAGGTTGGACCTGCCCGCTGGGCAGCCATACACTCATGCGGATCCTCCCACCGCTTGACAGTCCCTGGGACGCTGTGGTCTGTGTCTTCGTCAGAAATCCACACTGTTAAACGAGAGAGTTGAAGGAACCGGGTCTCCCTACCCCCACCCCCCAAAAATGTCACTGGTTTTGCTAATTGCTAAGTAGTGGCAAGGGACAGAATGTTCGTTAGATTGATATCAGTGTTCCTCTAAGCTTAAGAAGCCCTGGTTTCGTACTGTTTGTGTCTTGCCCTGAGAGGCCTTGAGGTAGACAGGCCAGGTTGTGGAAATGCTGCTCGCTCTCGTTTGTGTGTGAGCAACAGAAATACTCAAATTGAGAAAGTAAGGGGTTTCTTTTCTGTTTACCTTTCTATGGATTACAGCTTATCAATGTTAAAATCTTTCTGCGGGTATAGAGCAAACATAGTGGCTACTTCTTTTTTTTTTTTTTTAAAGATTTTATTTATTTATTTGAGAGAGAGAGAATGAGAGACCGCATGAGAGGGAGGAGGGTCAGAGGGAGAAGCAGACTCCCTGCCGAGCAGGGAGCTCGAGGCGGGACTCGATCCCGGGACTCCAGGATCATGACCTGAGCTGAAGGCAGTCACCCAACCAACTGAGCCACCCAGGCGCCCCATAGTGGCTACTTCTGTGACTTCCAGGGTCTGATCCAGATTTGGGTTTGGTGAAATCTTGAGGCCGCTGGCTGAGACGGGCTTGTGTAAAGAGCTGGGGTGTTGGGCAACCCGGCTTCTCTCCAAGGCGCTCCCTGCGGCCTCGCTGAAAGGGCCCAAGTGGATCCATCAAGGGAGGAGAGGTCTTCTGGGCATCAACTGCCAAAACAGGGAGGCCTGCCTTCCTGCCCTCTGATAGTGCCCCTGTGTCCCTGCTGCTCCCCTGTGACGTAATGGGCAATAATCACCTACTGTCCTCAGTGGGGACCATTTCCTCACTGGGAAAGCACCGGTCCCTGGAAACACCATGAATTCTGATCTTCAGCTCCTGAGGTTTAAGCCAGAAAAGGCAGCACCACAGAGCAAAAGGCTCTTCTGGGTTTGAAAAGCATTTGCTAAGGAGGCAGGGTCAGAACACATTCCAAGTGGCTGTTAGGTTGCTAAGCTTTTCAAGTATTTCACAATCAGGGAAAGCCATATGAACTGAAGCCCATTTTAATGCAAGTTCACTTCCACATGCTAAATGTGCTGAAGCCCTTCCTGAAATTTTGCAATGATTGTGTTGCGTGAGGGCCAACTGTGGTGCTCAACAGATGTTCTTACACAGGAAGTCCTTGTTCCCGAAGCCTCGGAATTTGATGAGTGGGAGCCAGAAGGCACAGCCCTGGAAGGCCCTGTGACTGCTGTCATCCCCACGTGGCAGGCACTGACCACTCTAGACCTGAGCCACAACAGCATCTCCGAGATTGACGAGTCTGTGGTACGTTCTCAGCTGCAGGTGCCGGGGGGTTTCTCTGGCCTGATCACACCCTGAGGTTGAGTATTCAACTTGGCCTTTTCAGAAGGACCATGGAAAACCTCTACCCAGTGCTCTGTGCATTGCTTCAAGTTTTTAAGTTAATTTCTAAGTGGGATTACTTAAAATAGGTGAGGTGGTGGTTAGAGCCCACTGAAGCATATTGATCGCATGCACATTTGATAGAGAAACATAGTAAGTGCGGACATTTACTCCCAGGGAGTGGAGTGGAAAATCATTCCATAGATGCCAGACACACCCCCATAAGAGTGACATGCAGATAGTACCTGGGCAAGAGGAGAGCGATTCCTGTATTTGCACTCTTTGGTGGGGTTGGGTAGGGCTGAAGAAGAGGGATGAAATTTCTTCCCCGTCTGGGACCTTGCCACTGTCCTTTTCACAAGCCAGGGCTTCTTTAGGAACAGTGGCCTGTGTTCAGCACTGGGGGCCCCGTGTGCCCCTGGGACAGGCTGCTGGGTGGGCACGGGAGGTGTCCCAGCAGCGGCCCCACAGAGCTGTCCGGCTGGGGCGTCCGTGGTCAGGAAGAAGCATCTCACGGTGTCTGTCCACCAGGTACAGGGGCCACCGAGGGTCCTGCGTCCTAGGGTAACCTCACGTATCTCTCTTCTTTCTCAAGAAACTGATCCCAAAGATTGAGTTCCTGGACCTGAGTCACAATGGAGTGCTGGTCGTGGACAACCTGCAGGTAATTCATGTCCTTAAAGACCACCTTCTGTGGGCTTCTCGAGGTCCTGTTCTCCTGAGAGTTCAGGAGGCTGACGCTGCCCTGGGAGCTTGGCCATCCCCTGGGGTTTTCTCTCTGAGGCCCCCAAAAGATGTCTGGGTGCACGGGAGGTTTGTAAAGGCGGGGTCTGCTGGTGTCCCCTTAGGGTCTCAGTGACGCACTGGGCAATTGTTGCTCTAGTTTCAAAGAGTGGGGAAAAGACGCGGAAGTATAAGTTGAGTGTGATGAAGACGGTACACCTCCAGCACGATGACAGACAGCCTGATTTTCACAGCTGGCCCCTCCCCTGTGGGCCGAGATGCCTCTGCAGGGGGTGCCACGGGGCCGTGGCACGTGCTGGGGAGCAGGGCTGGCCCTTGCCAATAGCTGTCCGGGGCAGGTGGGCGTTGGAGGGTGGGAGGCCCGCCGCCGCGTGTTCGTGACAGCCCGCCTGCTCGGGAGCCTGGCCGAACCGGTTGTGCCCTGTTCCCGATGCCCCTGCAGCACCTCTGCAGCCTCGTGCACCTGGACCTGTCCTACAACAAGCTCTCCTCCTTGGAAGGGGTGCACACCAAACTGGGCAACATCAAGACCCTCAGCCTGGCGGGCAACCTCCTGGAGAGTCTGAGCGGCCTGCACAAGCTCTACTCCCTGGTCAACCTGGACCTCCGCGACAACAGGATCGAGCAGGTGAGCCTCGGCCCGGAAGGCTCCCGGGGCCCTGGGGTGGCTGTGCCTTGGAGTTTCTCACCCTGAAGAAGAACGGTAGAGCTGTCTCGCGTTGAAAAGAGGCCCTCCGACGTGTTGGCCTGTTGCCGAAGCATTCAGAGAAGGGATGAGGGAAGGGAACTCGTTTCTTGCAGATGGAGGAGGTCAGGAGCATCGGCAGCCTCCCGTGTCTGGAGCACGTGGCCCTGCTGAACAACCCCCTGAGCATCATCCCTGACTACCGAACCAAGGTGCTGGCTCAGTTCGGAGAGAGGGCCTCCGAGGTAAGCTGCTGGGCGGCTCTGCTCTGTCAGAGAGACGGCCTGGATGGAGTCTGGCTCTTCCCAGGCTGCTCTGGAGGTGATATCCACTGTCCTCTGCCTCCCTGCTTCAGAAGGACGGTTCCGGGAAGTCTGCTGCCTCCCCAGGGGGAGGTTGCCCTGCCCCTTCTGTGGGGGCGCCGGTGGCCCTGGTTCCTGCTGGCTTCTGTCCTGTCGCCTCTGTCAGAGCTTTGGGCCAGGAGGGCTCCCCACCAGCCAGCAGGCACAGACCCAGGGTGGAGGGACTATCTTGAGCCTGTTAAAGCCACACTGTGTTTTGTAGACGGCAGACCTTAAAGGGTTTGCCCACCTTTGCCATGCGCTCCAGCCAGTTATCTGCTGCCTGCCGTGCGCGATCTGGCCACCTGCTGCCATGCCAGCCACACAGACCCTCAGCCGGCTTCACCCGTCCTTTCACTCTCGAGCAGGCCTCTCCCCCTTCTCCCCAGATCCCAGGCCAGAAGATACCTGGGCATCTTGTCTGCTTCCTTCCCCCCGCCACCCTCCTCATCTCTTTTCATAGCCCAGCGCCCCTTTCTTCACACCATCACCAAGACCGTGTTCACAAGATGTCCTCGCCCCCTGCCCCCCCCACCCACCCCCGGCTGCATGCCGTGGCAGCAGCTCTTCCACGGGCCCTTAGGACTGTCCTCCGTCGACCACACTACCAGCCCTCACTGCTTGCTAGTCACAGTCCCCTCCTGATTTGCAGATGGGGGTCCCCACCTGTCTGCTATTCCTATTCCCCGTGTCTTTGCTCTCCCAGGTCCCCAGCCCAGAGGCCCTCCCCTCATTCCCACTGATTGGAGTTTTGCCATAATTGGGGGCTTGTTTCAGGTCACCACCTTCCCCCACCCCAGCCACCTGAGAGGCCGTCACAGTGCCTCTTGTACCCCCTGTGCACAGCGGGGCTCCCAGAAATGGCCCGGGCAGTGTGGGAGCTCCTGGGTCATTTCCATGGGGGGTGAAGAGCTCACCTGCCAGGGGGCAGAGCCTCCCTTGGCCTCCTGTGTCCTCGCGGGGCCCCTTCCACTCTGCTCCGTCAACCCCTGTGCTGATGGCCACTCCCTGAACTCTGTAGGTCTGTCTGGACAACACAGCAACCACAGAGAAGGAGCTGGACACCGTGGAAGTGCTAAAAGCAATTCAGAAAGCCAAGGAGGTCAAGTCAAAGCTGAACAACTCGGAGAAGAAGGTGGGTCTTTGTGTGGGAGGTGACAGGAGTGATGGTGAAGAGCCGGACTGGGCCGTGGAGCACTCAGGGCCCCTGTGTCCTGGCCGCACCCCTCCATGTCCTGGCTGCTTGACCTTGGGCAAGCGTCCTCCCCTCTGTTCTCCCCTACTCGAGGCGGGCGGTGGCGTCACCTGCCACACGGGGTTGTGTGGACCAGGTGGGACCGCCTTCACCATCACCACGCTTGTGAGAGCTGGGAGCTCCTTCCTCCTCCCCCGGAGCTGACTTGAGCACTCCTCCTCAGATCATTGAGGATTCCCGGCTCTCAGCTGCCCCTTGCGTCCGACCCAGTGGCTCCCCTCCCAGCGTGGCTCCCACCGCCGCCTCCCTGCCCCAGCCCATCCTCTCCAACCAAGGTAATTGTGTATGTGTCTTGCCAGCTAGCAGAGTGGCACGTCCTGCCTGGGCGCCCGGCTGGGCTCGGGGGGAGGTGCCGGCAGGGTTCAGACACAGGGAGGGCATGGTGCTGTCTATAGGCGGCACCTCTTGGGGTAGCGGTGGGGGGGGGTGCTGGCTTGGTTTCAGCTCTGTGGTTTGCTTAGCAAGGGTCCCCAGTTGGCCTCAATCCCACATCCGGTTCCCATAGGAGCCCAAGGGTTTCTGGGGGGGGCCCGAGGCTGCCCTTTGAACAGGCTCGGGGCCGCTGCTCCCCCGCAGGCAGCATGGGCAGATTGGCTCCTTGCTAACGGGACGCCAGGCCCGGTGACTGTCCTGAATCGGGCACCCCGACCCCTGTGTAGGGAGCTTTCTTTTATCATTGCCTCATCTCTGTGGCTCTTGCGGTGTGATCCAGCCCCAAACACTGTGTGTGTGGGGCCGAGATGGGCTGTCCGTGGACCCGTGGAAGACCAGTTCCCTTCACCGGCCCACTGTCTTAGCGTTTTCAAAGGGCTTTCACCTCTGAACCCAGGCATCCTCGGAGATGAGTGAGTGAAGCAGGTCCCATGAGAGTGTCTGCTGGCCCGGCCCCCACGGAAGAGGGGAGGGTGTGCCATCCCGAGTGGAGCCAAGGCTCGGGACACACAGGAAAGAACGCCGCCCACCCGCCCGGGCTCCTGGAGACGCAGAACTTGGTGTGAGGTCTTGGGAGAACAGTTTGACCCTATGTTTCAAGAGCCAGAAAAACGTTCCCACCCCTTGACCTGGTAATCCCGCCGGTGGGGATTTTATCTGAGTGGGATAAGTTGATGGGGAACTGCAGCATTATTCACGCTAACAAAACATGGCGTGTGACAGGCGTCAGAGGGCGCGAGGGGGGCCGGGCTGTGGTACGAACTCTGCTGCCACCCCGCGGGGGGCCGGGGGGAGAAAGGAGACGCGCGCAGGTTGAACCGCGACGCCTGTGGCAGGCGGCTCACCAGGGTCACGACCCTGAGGTAGGAGAGAGAATTCACGAGAACGGAACGGTGGTGTTGGTAAGGGCCAGAGTACTTGTCCGTCTGCTTTTGTAACACTCTTGACTGAGAAATTCGGGGGGGGGGGGAGGGGTTTGTTGGGTTTTTTTTTTCCATGAAAGGGGGAGGGGGTTTGTATCCCCGCAAAGAAGCTTCCCTGCCGCCGGGCCAAAGCCCTCTTGGGGGCCACCGGTGCTGCCCCCTCACAGCACCCGCCAGCCTGCGGAGAAGCCGTGGGACTAGGCCTCTGGGGGACGGGGAGATGCGGCTGGTCCTCGAGGCCGGGCACCTGCCGGTTCTCAGCCAGCGTTTGTCGAATCGATGAACGAGTGAGTGTGTGCGTGAACGGGCAAGCGGAGAACCAGCCAGGAAAGCGCAGCCCGTGGGGGCGGGACATGAGATGTGCGCCCCCAGAGCTGCAGCTGCAGGCAGCCCCTGGGTGGGCAGGAAGGCGTCTGCCCCGCGCCCAGGGACGTGTCACAGACTGGCTCACTGTAGTCTGTACACACAACCCCCCCCCCGCCTCTTTCCCGGCTACCAGCCATTTAGACCTTGTCTCCAGATTTGCACCTCTTATGAATAAAACTGTAGTGGATGTCTTTGTGTGCACATCTCTTTCCTTTCTGTGAGAAACAACAGAATTCGGGCCCCATCTAGGCACTCTGATGCCTCTCGTCTCATCCTCTGAGTGACCCTTCCTGACCACTTGTTTGTGCAGTCCATGGGCCAGGAAGGAAGCCGAAAGACTGTGCCCGTCCACACTTCCTCAGTTCCAAACAGGGCGTGGGTGGATAGCTGCAAGAAAACGTTGCTTTTTCTCACTAAGGCGGAGGAGTCTGCAGAGGGTTGTGCTCAGCCCTGTGCTACCCATCCAGGGTCTTGCCTGGATGGGCCAGGGTTTCTCCCAAAGGGAGCAGCTCTGCTCCCAGCCTCCTCCCCCCTGTAGACGTAAACATGCTTGTGAATAAACTGGGCGCTATCCCGTTAACACCAGGCCTCTGGTTGTCTCAGGAGCTTTTAGCCAGCTTGTTGGAGCTATGGACATGGAGGATGGTGGCCAGTAGGGGCTGACGGGCGAAATGCCCGAGTTGCTTCTTCAGCCGGGTCCATAGAGAAGTGGCTAGGAGCAGGCACCCGGGAGGGAGGCAGCTCAGTTTGCATCCCAGCTTCCCTGGCCGTGTGCCTTCAAGCAACGTGCAGCCTCTCTGAAGCTCTGTTTTCTCAACTGTGAAGTGGACATACCCTGCTTCATCGATTCTAAGATGCACCCGTTTCCACCGTGACTTCTCTGAAACTGAGATGCGTCTTTCAGTCATGGCGTCGCATAGTCGCTGTCAGCCAGCTGGTACTCGTGATGGAGTCGTGCGAACGCCTTCCGTGGACACCCGCTAAGACCAAGATGGCGCCCCATCCACGCATCTTAGATTTGATGAACTGTGGTAAATAATGAGAGGCGTGCATGAGCTAATACTGGGGAAGCGCTTAACGCTGCTCCTGGCTCGTCAGGAATGGTCAGTAAGGGCTTCCCTTCCTTGCGTCCTTATTGGGCGATTCCAGATGACCAGGACAGTGCCCCTAAGGAACCTGGAGCCTCTCGGGGAGGTGAGCTGCTGTGCCCGAGGGCAGGATGGCGTGGGGGCGTTTGTAGAAGGGAGAGGCATGTCTAGAGCAGAGAGGGCTTTGCAGTGGAGGTAGTGTGTGAGGTGAACCTCGAAGAGAGAATCTGCGTGTGAGGGAGGAGAGGGGGGTGGACTCCAGGCGAGGGCCGCGCCTCGTGCATGGCTGCGCGCTTGCCGCCCTCCTGCCTGCGCATAGTGCCTGCTGCTTCGCTCGGGGCGTGGGGCTGGGGCTCTGGGCTTGGGCTTGGGCTCTGGGCTCGGACTCTGGGCTCGGCTAGTCTGTGGGCAGAGCACCGGGGCTGCATGAGTTGTCCTGTCCCTCCGGGGCAGCTGAGCTGCACAAGGGCCCGGGATCTCTGGAGCTCAGTCATTTCACTGAACCATGGTGCCTGGTGGCAAAGCCAGGCAAGCCCTGGGCTCCTTCAGACCTCTGAAACTGGGGGTCGGTGTTCAGTGTTCTCCCAGCTAGCTACATTTAGGAAAAGGTTTTTAAAAAGTCTTTACCCTCCACCACTGTGGAAAATGGAGTGAAGTAACAGGCCCAGGCAAGCTGTATTCATCGCACAGCCTCAGCAGGGTTTAAGAACGCCGGGTGTTTCTGGGGTGCATGAGTCAGTGCGCTGTCCGTGGAGGGTCAGCGGGGAGTGTCCTGTGGAAAACAGGCCGTGGGTGCTGAGCGCAGTTCGTCCTTGCCAGCCCCGGAGGAAAACAGCCTGCGAGGAGGCCCGGCCTTGTGCGTGAGGGGTCCTGAGCCCTCGCATGTCTGTGAAGCTCGCAGAGATGTGTTAGTGGGGTGGGGGGCCAAGTTCAGTCATTCTCCTAGAAAGAGGTTCCAGGAGTGAACACGTTGAAGGCTCTTGATGGACATACTGCCACACTGCTCTCCAGCAGGCAGGCCAGCTCGTGCCCACTGCCCGCCTCTGCCCAGTTAGGCCAAGGCCAGAACAGGCTGTCAGACCTTTGCCAAAGCGAGGCAAAACTGAGGTCATGTTTCGACTCGCCCTTCTGCGGTTCCTTGTGGGGGTGCGCCTTGCTTTCTGTGTTCTTTCCAACGGCCATTCCTTTGCGGGATGGCTGCTCATGCCTGCGGTCTCCTAACAGGGTTTCCAGCCCGCCCCCGCTTCCATCCTTGTTATCTGGAAGAGCCTTTTATAGATCAAAGACACACATCTTTGTCAAGTATCGAAAGTACTTTTTTTCTCATTTCATTTTTATCTTCGGTTTCTTTTCTTACAGAAGTTTGGTGATTACGTAGTCACACACGTGTCAATTTCTTCTTTGGATTTAGGCTTAGAAAGTCTGTCCCTGCCCTGAAGTTAGATAAGCAGTCATTTGTTCTTTTTTCGAGGTTAAGATTTCCGTTTTTAATGTTTTCTTCTGTGATCCATGTGGCTGGGTTAGGGGGTCTGATGAGGCCGCTAGTCCTGCCGGAAGCCTGAGGGCCCAGCCCTGTTTGTTGAATGGCTACTCTCCCTGCCCACCCTGCCCGCCCGCCCCTGGTCTCTCCAGGTATCATGTTCGTGCAGGAGGAGGCCCTGGCCAGCAGCCTCTCATCCACGGACAGTCTGACACCCGAGGACCGGCCCATTGCCCGGGGATGCTCTGATTCCTTAGAGTCCATCCCTTCCGGACAGGTAATGCCCCCCCTCCTGTTTCTGGGGATTGCTTATCTCTGTGGACCAACTGTCCTGCGGGGGGCTGTCCGGAAGTAGGATTTGCCTCGGCTGGAAGGTGGAGGTGGCCTGGCTGGAGTTGGGGCAGGTGCTGCCGCTGCCTGGTGCGCTCTGCTTTGTGTTCCTTGTCTGTCTGTCTGTCTGTGTTTGTATGTATCTGTTTCTCGTCTCTGTCTCTCTCTCTCGGGGCTAATAGGAACAGGCAGTTCTCTCACCAGGCCCTTAGGGGCAAATCCAGATGGCCCTTAGCCACCGCCCCCCTTCCCCGCCATGAGTGGACTCTCCTGGGAAAGGCAGTTCAGAAAGCCCTAGGTGGGGATGGTTTGGGTCCCACACCCATCAGGAAGACTTTCTCCACTGTTGCCTGGCATGCTGGGCTCTTCTTCCCGCTCCTGCATTTTACCCTAGTAGTCTGGGACACACTCTGATTCCAGCACCTCCTCTGTGGCTGCTGCTGAGGGTTCTGGAACTTCTCCCTCTGTCCTGGGAAGAGAGGAGGAAGGCAAGTGTGATGTGGGGATTCTGCTTGGTTCCTGGGCCTCCATCCAGCCCTGTGTTCAGTAGTCCAGGGTGACGGCCCTGTGACCCTGGGCAGTTTGCGGAGTCCTTGCTCTGTCCCAGCACTCCTTGGCACTCCTCCCTCCACTCTCCCCAGGGGCACACAGTAGGGGGTTCCCGGGCCCTAGGTCCTCCGCACTGCCCAGAGACCACTGGGAGGGCCTTGCCAGGTGCTGCGTAGCCTCTGCTCATTGAGATCTCTGCGGGCCAGTTGCCGCATTGCTAGACTGTCCACTTGGACCCTCTGGGGTGGCATGAGGAGCACTCGGATGCCAGACCTAGGGGTACGTGCTGAGCTGCAGAGTGGCAGGAGGCTCCGCCCCAGGGCCTGGGGGCATGGGCTGGGGCCAGACAGAGGCCACAATCTCAGCCCTGTAGTGCACTGCCATGTACCTGGCTGAGTCTCTCTCGGCCTTTCTGGGCCCCAGTATCCGCCCCCGAGAGAAGCGTGGGGATGGTGAGGAGCTTCCTGCAGGGTGGTGAGCTGGGGCAGGGTGCCTGGCTCAGGGTCCGGCACCCAGTAGGTGCCAGGAAATGGCTGCAGCAAGTAGGGGGCTCACTGCGTGTCCTTCTTCGTCAGGCACCTTCTGATGATTTACGGGACATACCCGGAGCTGTTGGCGGTGTGAGGTAAGGAAGAGGTTAAGAAGGCATCCTAGGCGTTCTGCACATGCCCAGCTGTGGACTAGTGGGAACCAGTTGGATTTTGTTAACAGTCTGTTCGTAGAAGTTCTTCAGAGCTATTTCTTCCTTTAAATAAATAAACAGCAACGAGGTGGGCTCTGGTCTGTTTCCAAATCCTAATCGCTGGAGTTTGTTTGACACGTTATCCCATACTAGGGGTCAGCAGATCAAGGCCGATTTGGTCCACAGCCTATTTTGTACAGCCTGTGAGCTGAGAATGATTGTTATATTCTTAAAGCACTGCTAAAAAAAGATTATGTGGATGGGCTCTTCCAAAACCTGAGGTATTCAGCCTCTGAGCCTTCATAGAAGTTCTGTATATGCTTTTTCACGGAGGCCGCAGTAGCCAAGAGGAGACAGCCATTTTTTTTTTTTAAGATTTTATTTGAGAGAGAGCACAAGCCGGGGCCGGGGGTGGAGGCAGAGGGAGAAGCAGATTCTCTGCTGAGCAGGGAGCCCGATGTGGGGCTTGATCCCAGGACCTGAGATCATGACCTGAGCCGAAGGCAGACGCTTAACGACGGAGCCACCCAGGTGCCCCAAGAGGAGCTAGCATTCAAATGTGAAAGTCCTAAGACCCACCTAGCTTACTCCCTGACTTCCATCCCAGAGGCCACTGGGTGCCCCTGAAGGGAACCATTGTCAACAAGTGACTTCATGCCCTTGAGCTCTCGTTTTCTTTGGGGCTCACAGCCAGCCTCTGAGTGACTGAGAGGTCTTTCTGTTGCTTTTGTTGGGGGAGCCCGTGTGGTGTGGGTAGGACAGGGCTAAGCGCCTGTGGTCTGAGCCCTGGGACCGTAGACTCTCACTGAGCTGGCAGTCCCAGCCTTCCAGCACCCCGGCTCCCGACTGGGGCACTTTCATGGACACGGGCTCAGCTGTTTCAAAGGCTTGGGAGACCCTTGAGCTGGTCCGTCAAGGCCAGGGTGCAGGCTTTGCATGTGAGCGGTAGGGCTGGCCCAGCGCAGCGTGCTGTTGACCCGTCCTCTCCCTCCTCAGCCTGGAGCATGCGGAGCCAGAGGTTCAGGTGGTGCCCGGGTCTGGCCAGATCATCTTCCTGCCCTTCACCTGTATCGGCTACACAGCCACCAACCAGGACTTCATCCAGCGCCTGAGCACACTCATCCGGCAGGCCATCGAGCGGCAGCTGCCCGCCTGGATCGAGGCTGCCAACCAGCGGGAGGAGGGCCAGGGCGAGCAGGGCGAGGATGACGATGACGACGAGGAGGACGCCGCTGAGAACCGCTACTTCGAAATGGGGCCCCCAGATGCGGAGGAAGAGGAGGAGGGTGGCCAGGGGGAGGAAGAGGAGGAGGAGGAGGAGGACGGCGAGGAGGAGCGCCTGGCCCTGGAGTGGGCCCTGGGCGCAGACGAGGACTTCCTGCTGGAGCACATCCGCATCCTCAAGGTGCTGTGGTGCTTCCTGATCCACGTGCAGGGCAGCATCCGCCAGTTCGCCGCCTGCCTCGTGCTCACAGACTTCGGTGTCGCCGTCTTCGAGATCCCACACCAGGAGTCGCGGGGCAGCGGCCAGCACATCCTGTCATCCCTGCGCTTCGTCTTCTGCTTCCCCCACGGCGACCTCACCGAGTTCGGCTTCCTCATGCCGGAGCTGTGCCTGGTGCTCAAGGTGCGGCACAGCGAGAACACGCTCTTCATCATCTCGGACGCCGCCAACCTGCATGAGTTCCACGCCGACCTGCGCTCCTGCTTCGCCCCGCAGCACATGGCCATGCTGTGTAGCCCCGTGCTCTACGGCAGCCACACCAGCCTGCAGGAGTTCCTCCGCCAGCTGCTCACCTTCTACAAGGTGGCGGGCGGCTGCCAGGAGCGCAGCCAGGGCTGCTTCCCCGTCTACCTGGTCTACAGCGACAAGCGCATGGTGCAGACCGCCGCTGGGGACTACTCGGGCAACATCGAGTGGGCCAGCTGCACGCTCTGCTCGGCTGTGCGCCGCTCCTGCTGCGCGCCCTCCGAGGCCGTCAAGTCGGCTGCAATCCCCTACTGGCTACTGCTCACGCCCCAGCACCTCAACGTCATCAAGGCCGACTTCAACCCCATGCCCAACCGCGGCACCCACAACTGTCGCAACCGCAACAGCTTCAAGCTCAGCCGCGTGCCGCTGTCCACGGTGCTGCTGGACCCCACGCGCAGCTGCACCCAGCCGCGGGGTGCCTTCGCCGACGGCCACGTGCTGGAACTGCTCGTGGGCTACCGCTTTGTCACTGCCATCTTTGTGCTGCCCCATGAGAAGTTCCACTTCCTGCGCATCTACAACCAGCTACGGGCCTCGCTGCAGGACCTGAAGACCGTGGTCATTGCCAAGACCCCCGCAACCGGGGCCCGGTCCCAGAGCCCCCTTGTGGAAGGCCAAGCTGCCGAGGACAGGGCCAGGTGAGACCAAGCACAGGCTCTTGGGGTGGGGGAGTGGGGGCGGGCGCCGAGTCTGAGACCATTCACTCCAAATGAGATCTGTGAGTGTCCGTATGTGTGAGTGGGCCCAGGGTGGGCCTGGGTCCTCTATCCCTCCTCGGCTGCTGACCAGCCTCAGCATTGCCCTTGGCTCCCTCTGACACCCCGTGCCAAGCCTTACTCTGCTGGTGAGCCATCTACCCCTTTTCAGGAAGAACAGGGTCGCTGAGGGGCTCTCTCTTTGCATGTAATTCTGTGAGTTTTTCCAGAGGAACTTGTTGGCTGAGAGCAGCAGAGTCTGAGGTCTGAGTTTGAGAGCCGGGCGGTTCCCTCGCTTAGAGTGCCTTTCCTTCTTGCATCAGGGGAGACGGGGAAGTCGTGGCAGTCTTGTCCTGTTCTTCCTCCCTCTGTTCCTGCGTCCTCTGTCTGTCTTCCCCCTGGCACCCTGCCTGGGCTTCCGTCAGGACCATCTGGAGCTGAGGCTAGAGGGAGGCCTGTGGGCTGCCGTGGTCCTACCCTCAGCTCACCTGCACCCAAGACTCCAGAGGGGCCTCGTGCCCTGGAGGGTGCCTGTCTTCTGCCACTGGCCCCTGGCTTCACACATGCTGGGGCTTCCCCAACGTGGGCAAGAAAGCCCTTCATCTGTTGGTCTTCCTGTCCTCTTGAGATACAGCCTCATTTTCTTTTCTGTCCTTGTGGACGGTAGTAACGCTGTCCTTACCCCAACATCTCATACCTTCTGCCTCTAATCCCAGCCCCCCAACTGAGGTTTCCAAGGGGCTCCCAGCCTCTCCCTAGATGAATCGGGTACCCTTCTTGGGCCCAGTTTAAGTCCCATGGCCTCCCCCCACCGCTGAGGCCTCGAGCGGTGACACCTTGTCTCCCATTTCCATGCTGTCCCCAAGTGTGGCTGGAACCTGCCCCCAATGGGGACTGCATGCAGAAAACAGCTGCTCTGCTCTATCCCAGCAGACACATCTCTGCCGCAGGATGAGGGGGCACAGCCCAGGGATTTCTTTCGACAGCTGGACTATCCCAACAGAAAGGATGTCCAAAAGACCCCTCAGCCTGGGCCCCAGGCATGTAGGCCGGTAGTAGGGTCCTCCCCACCTCGGGGGTCAGCTCCTAACCTGAGCTTTCAGGGTTGTGAGCATTGTTTGGTCTTGTGCTTGGAACAGACCTATGAAAACCCAGTGTGGCCACGTGGATGTTGGCGGGGTGGGGTGACAGCCTGGGCTGCCTGAGGAGGACCCAAAGGCAAGCTGAGGGGCCATTTGGTTTTGGTTGTCACCTCTGGTTGCACTCAGGTCCCGGGCTTGGGCACCTTGGTTGGCGCTCTGGAGTGGCATTTCTGATGCTTCTACAACCTTCTGAAAATGAATTGTTAGTCCATGGGCCGCACATCTGGCCGTCCCTGCCTGGGGTAGCAGACTGCCTGTCTTTCCCCCGACCACCCATCTCCCTTCTAAGAGCAAGGGCCTGGTACTTTCCCTTTGTTCTGCTTCCTGTGGGGAACCTAGAGATGACATCCCCAGGTGACCTCAGTCAGACATGGTGCTCGTTCCATCACACTCTGAGGTTGTGTGTGATAGGACTCTCCACTCGGGGTCCCGGTGCTAATACAGTGTCTCTCGGGGGATTGGGAGGTGCAGCAGTGACCAGCGGCCCCAGGAAGCCCCAGCAGAGGCTCCAGCTCCAGCCCCAGCCCCAGCCCCAACGGAGGCACCAGCCTTGGACCTGGCCCCGGTGGAGGGCCCAGCTCCGGCCCTGGAAGAGGCCTTGGGCCCAGTGGAGGCCTCGCTTCCATCTTCAGCCCCAGCAGAGGCCTCGGCCCCAGAGCAGTCCCCAGCAGAGAGCCCGGCCCCAGCCTCTGTGGAGGCCCCGGCCCCGGCCCCGGCCGAGCCGCAGGTGCAGGCGGAGGCCCCCGCTCAGTACCCAAGCGAGCACCTGATCCGCTCCACGTCGGAGGAGAATCAGCTCCCCTCACACCTGCCCGCCTGCCCGTCCCTCCGTCACATCGCCAGCCTGCGGGGGAGCACCATCATCGAGCTCTTCCACGGCAGTATCGCCGAGGTAGAGGCCCGGAGCGGGCCTGCTGGCTGGCCCTCGCGTGCAGAAAGCTGGAGTCGGCGGGGGGCGGGTCCTGGGCTGCCCCACCCCGGTCCATTGTCTCTGCCACCACCTCTCCCTGTGGCCACTCCTCACCTTGGGCCCCAGACACACCCCGCCCCACACACATCTCCCACCCTTCCATTTTTCTCTGCTTCCAAGTTTATAAATGCATGGACCGGATGTGATGAGGGTCCTGTGTCTCCTCATCCAGGACTGCGGGCCTGTCACTGGGACGTGCAGGTCACCAGGGCCGTGGGGCTGACCGGCAGGGAGAGGGGGGTGCCCTGCCCAGAGCTCTGTTGTCAGGCAGGCACGGCCTGGAAGAGAGTTTTGTGCCCCCCGCCCTGCTCTGCTTCGGGCCCAGACCCAGCCCTTCTGTGTCCAGGTGGAAAACGAGGAGTTGAGGCACCTCATGTGGTCCTCAGTGGTGTTCTACCAGACCCCGGGGCTGGAGGTGACCGCCTGCGTGCTGCTCTCCACCAAGGCCGTGTACTTCGTGCTGCATGACGGCCTGCGCCGTTACTTCTCCGAGCCCCTGCAGGGTAGGTGCCAGGGCCTGGCACCCGGGAGTTCAGAGCACGTGTCCGAGGAGACAGGCCGCGGGGCCTGAGGCAGCAGGGATTTGGCCATGCTGGGCCAAGCCTGCCTTGTCTCAGGAAGGGGCCTTGACAACCATATTCTCTCCTGGAGGTACCCTGAGAGACCTAAGGCCAGCACATAAGGCAGGGCCTGGCCAGGGCCCGGGCGCTGGCGGGGGGCGAGGAGGGGCTTGGGCAGCCTCTGTCCTGTGGGACCCCAGTGGGATCCTTTGCCAGTGGCCCGTTGTAGGGCTCCTGGTGCCTCCGCTGAAGCCAGGCAAGGCTCAGAGCCTGGAATGCGTGGCCCGTGAGGCTTTCCGCCCATAGAGGCAGGGGCGGCTCCTTGCCTGCTGGCCCCAGCTGCGCACCCAGGACCCCCGTGCTTGCCCGGCACCACACTTGGTGCCTGTCTCTCCGTCGCAGATTTCTGGCATCAGAAGAACACAGACTACAACAACAGTCCCTTCCACATCTCCCAGTGCTTTGTTTTAAAGCTCAGCGACTTGCAGGCAGTCAACGTTGGGCTTTTCGACCAGTATTTCCGGTTGACGGGTGAGTGACCGCCGTGCTTTGTCCTATTTTGGGTGAAGGCCAGTGTCACCAGTGGGCTTCCACCTTCCATATGTGGGTGCGTTATCGCAGCCTGAGTTATCTCTGCTCACAAGCCCGTTCACCGGAGCGGGAGGAAGCAGCTTCAGGAACTGCTGAGCGTGCAGAATCCCCCAGGGCTCAAGTGCGAGGCGGGACCGAGGCGGCCGAGTGCCCGGCGGGCAGGGAGAGTGGGCCCAGGGCTCACGGGCAGGATGTTTCTGACTCACACTTCCTGAAGAGAGAAAGCTAAGCTTTTTCCCTAATGCCTCTGCATCCCTTTCCAGAAAAATGTCACAGCCCTTCTGGCCCGAGAAATAGCTATCTCCCCAGGCCCCATGATGCTTTCCCACGTGGGTCTTCCTCCGGTCTCCGGGGGGGGCAGGCATGAGGTGGGGGAGAGGCAGCCCGCAGCCGTGACCAGCCCCTTCTCCCGCAGGCTCCTCCCCGATGCAGGTGGTTACCTGCTTGACACGGGACAGCTACCTGACACACTGCTTCCTACAGCACCTCATGGGCGTGCTCTCCTCACTAGAGCGCACACCCTCCCCCGAGCCTGTCGACAAGGACTTCTACTCCGAGTTTGGGAACAAGACTGCAGGTACCCCCCACGCCCGGCTCGGGCTGCAGCAGGCCCCAGGGCACCTCTCTCTGCCCAGGACCCCCTCTGCCTCGCTCACTTTCTCTCCTTCCCGCTTAGCCAGCGAGGCTTTTCCGTGGGCTTTTCCACGGCAGAGCCTCCATCCCAGCAAACTCTCAGCCACCCGGCAGTTGGCGTCTTGAGTGCCTGCTGTGCGCTGAACTGCTGGCCTGTGGGTCTCCGCCCGAGCGTGGGGGCCTGGAGTCACTCCCCTGCTTCTGCCAGGCCCTGGTCCCGCCATCATGGGTGGCTTGGGTTCACGGGGGCTCTGGGCCCCAGCGCCGGCCAGGCCAGGCTACGACCCCGGGGGGCGCCCCTCTCTGCAGGGAAGCTGGAAAACTACGAGCTGATCCACTCAAGCCGCGTCAAGTTCACCTACCCCAGTGAGGAGGAGATCGGGGACCTGACGTTCACTGTGGCCCAGAAGATGGCCGACCCAGAGAAGGCGCCGTCCCTCAGCATCCTGCTGTATGTGCAGGCCTTCCAGGTGGGCACACCGCCCCCCGGGCGCTGCAGGGGCATGCTGCGCCCCAAGACGCTCCTGCTCACCAGCGCTGAGATCTTCCTCCTGGACGAGGACTTCGTCCACTACCCACTGCCCGAATTCGCCAAAGAGCCACCGCAGAGAGACCGGTACCGGCTGGACGACGGCCGCCGCGTCCGGGACCTGGACCGCGTGCTCATGGGCTACCAGACCTACCCGCAGGCCCTAACCCTCGTGTTTGACGACGTGCAGGGCCACGACCTCATGGGCAACGTCACCCTGGACCACTTCGGGGAGGTGCCAGGTGGTCCCACCAGAGCCGGCCAGGGCCGTGAGGTCCAGTGGCAGGTGTTCGTGCCCAGCGCCGAGAGCCGCGAGAAGCTCATCTCGCTGTTGGCCCGCCAGTGGGAGGCCCTGTGCGGCCGGGAGCTGCCCGTCGAGCTCACCGGCTAGCCTGGATCACGGCCGGCTCTTGCCACCTGCCATGTCTGGCCTGGCGTCCACTCAGGGCGGGAAGCAGGCTTTCTTTGTTCTTTTCAAAGTGTTTCTCCCCCCTTTTGGGTCCCCTCGTTGGACCGTCCTTGCAGAGAATGTGCATTCAGTGACTTCAGTGACTTCTTTCCAGAGCTGGGAGTGAAAGCGCCGGCCCCCTCCGGGACCTCCCTGTGCCATCCGCCTCCCGTTGGCTCTGTTGCCTCCCCATGGGGCGGTGTGGCCAGCGCGCCAGTGTCGTGTTTTCTGTCGTGGGGCTGTTATTGCCAAGTGGCGCCGTGGGTCAGCTTTACTCTTCTGTGTCCTTCCCCGAAATGTCTCGTTCAGCCTTGTTGTCATTGTGGGAGTTCGCTGCTAATTGTGAAGCTGGTAGCGTAGTGCACATCAAAAGCTCCCGCCCCGTGCAGTTTTCCAAAGTGGAGGCCTCTCCTGGCCCAGTCAAGTGGGAGAGCCCCATGGGGACAGGAGTCTCCCGGCCTTGGGGCTGAAAGGGGTGGTGGCAGGGGACCTAGAGCTGCCAGCACTGAGTGTGATTCCTGTCGCCTGTTTTCTCTATTCCAATAAAGCAGAGTTTGACACAGTCTGGGTCTTTTATTTCAAGGGCCACTGGGGTCTCGGCAGGGCACCGGCCCAGGGCAAGGTTGGCATGAGGGAGAGGGTCCCCTAGGGAAGCAGGAAGGTGAGCTCCTGGGGGCAGCGGGGGAAAGGAAGGAGAGAGAAGGGCATGGAGGGCAAGGGAGCGGCTCTGCTCGGGTGGTGCTGGTGGGCCGGCCCCCGAGTGCTGGCACAGGGTGGGTGGGAGGGGGCCCTCGGATAGGGCTGGGCAGGGCTGGGCTTGCACCCTGAGCCTCAGGGCACGTGCCGCACCCTGGCTCACTGGCTTTCTGCCTCCTGCAGGTCTGCAATGTCCCAGCCGAAGCTGCAGTCTGTTGTGAGGTAAACCCTAGAGTCTGCGATTGCATAGGGTGGGGGCTGGGGGGGGTCTCACCAAGAGGGCCCACGGGGGGAAGGCCTGTGGGAGGTGTCCCCAGGTGGTGGATAGTGTGCTCTTGTCCTCAGACAAGTGGGGGTTGCCTCAGGGAGCCCTGCCAAACTAGGACCTGGGATTGCTTTGGGAGCCAGCTGTGTGTCCCACCCTTCCTCATCCCATTCCTGCCCCCAGAGCGGGGCCCTGGAACCCCACTTGTCTCTCCCATCCTGGCCCAATCAGGGGCATCAGGCCCCAAGGCCCTGGGGCCATCTGGGCCAGGCAGGACTGGAGAACAGGTGATTGGAGGAGGGTGGCCAACCCGGCTCCCAGCCTGCTGCTCCTGTCTTCCCTCGGTGCCCACACTGGGGCCTCGAGCCTCAAGAAGGCTGCTGGCGGGGAGGGGGAGCCGCCAAGGGGAGGGTCTCCCCACTCACAACATCCCCGGCCAGCCCAAGGGCTCCTCTAGCCTGGGGCGGGGGGAGGCCTGTTGAGGAAGAGGAGGAGGTAGGTGACAAAGCTGCTCCTTACCGGGCTTTCATCAAAGACCTTTACAAATGGCCACCTGCCTCTCTCCATCTGTTATGTGTAAACGGGGATGGTGACAACCAGAGGCAGGGTCCACTACCTGGACTACTGTTCCAGGCCGCATGGACCCACATGACACTGACCCCTGCCTGGGTCCATGAGGACACGACCTGGCGAGAGGCTGGGCCGTTGTGTCTCCCTTGCGTGTTGAGGATGGGACCTTAACACTGATTAGCCCAGAGACCTTAGGCGAGTTCCTTAGTGCCTCCGAGCCTGGTCTGCGCACCGGTAACGGGTGATAAAGGTACCCGCCTGCCTCCTTCGTGCCCTCCGCAAGTCTGCGCGGGGCCCCCACTGCGTGAGGTAGCCGGACACCACCCTGCTCTCCTGTAGCTGAGTTCAGCAGGGGACGGAGAATACACGAAATAAACAGTGTCAGCTGGTAGCAAGCGCTATGAGGTAATGACAGCTGGTGACCCTTGAGCTGAGGCTGACCTTGGGGAGAGTCCCTATGAGAGGAGCTGGGGGCAAAGCAGCGGGTTAGGGGAGGGGAGAGGCCCCCGGCCGGAGCAGGCCAGGTGGGGCTAGCCTGGCACGGAGGGGTTCGGAGTGCAGTGGGAAGCCAGGAAGCCCCCTGGGGAGAGAAGGGGGTACAGGGACCAGGGGGAGGGGTAGCTGGGGCAGGTGAGCCACGGAATGGTCTGACGTGCTGTCTGCTTAGCACAGAGCTGGCGGGAAGTCAAGGCCCACAGCTGCTCTCAGCAGTTAGAAAGGTGGAAGCAGGCAGACCCGATTCAGGGCTGCTCTACCCCCACCTGCCGGAGCCCCCCACCCCCAGAGCCTCTGAATGATCTAAGCCGGGCTTGCAGACAAGGGCTGGGCAGTGGTTTGTATTGGAGCGGGCTCCGCACCCTCTGCTGGGCCTCAGGCTTGTGGCTGATGGTGGGCTTGGGGGCTGTGATGCCAGGAGGAGGGTCTCTGGTCAGGAAGCCCTGAGCAGGGCCCAGGCTGACCATGCAGGGGTCAGCGGCCAGCACCTTCCCTTCCGCCTGCAGGCTGCTGATAGCAGGAGGAAATCCTGGCGGGTTCCTGTGGGGGTGAGCTGGCGGGGCCTCCGGACTGCTTTTAAAGCGACTGCCCGCCCCGGCCGACCCGCCCGCTTGCCCTGTGCCTGCCTCCTAGAGCTCGTTCCCCACACTGGTTTCCCTGACTGTCCTGGACGGCGTGTGCCGTCACCAGCCATGGCAGGGCCCCGGGGCCGCCTCCTGCTCTGCCTCCTGGCCTTCTGCCTAGCAGGCTCCAGCTTCACCAGGGGGCAGAAGGTGAGTGTGAGCCAGTTGCAGGGGGACGCGGTGTTCGGGTCCTGCTGGCCAGTGGTGGGAGCAGGGAGGGGGGGGGGTACACAGATAGGGCCCAGGTCTGGGGACACACAGGGCCGCCGTGACTCATCTGCCCTCCGAGCAGGCCCAGAGGGCTGGGCCGCTGGGTCCGCCTGCGCAGGCTGCGCTGTGTGTGGGTCCACCTCCCGGGCTGGCGGTCATGTGTTGCCTTGCCCTCCTCTGACCGCGCTCGGCCCACCAGCCCCGATGTGGTGTGGGCAGCCATCCCGGGGCTCCCCAGCCTGAGGCTGAGGGGGACAGAGCCGGGCCCAAGCTCCTGCCCTCCCTGCCCGGACTGAGGCTTGGGCTCTCTGTGAGCCTGGCCTGGGGGTTGGAGCCCGGAGTGCCCCCGAGCCCTGGAGGGGCCAGCCAGCCAACAGGCTCACGTGGAACACACATGTGTGTGCCTGTGTCCGGCCTCAGGGGGGGAAGGAGGTCTGCTCACCCCCAGTCTCTCTGGGTAAACAGGAGCCAACAGTAACACCCTCAACCCCGAGAGCTTACCAAGTGCATAGCCTGGGCACAGCCGGGCATTACCCCTGCGCGCCCCCCTGGGCGGTGGGTCCTGTTCTCTGCCTGAGGAAGCCAGAGCCCAAGGATGATGGAGACAGATCAGTCCGACTCTGGAGCCTTGCTCCGGACTGACCACTGCCTGTGATCCGCAGAAATGGGCCCAGGGTGTGGTTGTTAGGGCCGCGCGTGCCAGCCACCTCCTGGCTGCCCATCTGCGGGTCTACACAGGCCCCGGAGCTTCCGGAAGAGCCTCCCACCCTGAGGATGGGGAGAGAGTTGCCTGGCCGGGGGCCTGCCTGCGGATGAGGGTCCCTCCCCTGTGAGGCCAAGTCCATCTGATTCTTGGGGCAGCTGCTACTCTCCCCCTATCGCTAGCAGGCAGGCTGAGGTACGGAGAAGAGGGACGTGCCCGGGACCCCACTGCCAGGCCAGGCCAGCTCCGGGTTGGGGATGGGAGGCCAGAGCTGCAAGGGTGACCATGGTGGGAGAAGGGCCCAGGGTTCTAGGCTGTGCTAAGCCGGGCAAGTGGGCTCCTGTGCCCTCCCTGCCCCAGTTTCCCCGCACGGTATTGGAATACGAGGGGATTTCAAAGGCCTGCCACCTCACGCTGGGAATTTTTCCTCCTCGGAGACCTGTGCTCTGCCTGCCTCTCAGCTGTATTCTCGGGCTGAGGCCCCGCCAGCCTGGGCGGGGCAGACAGTCCCGGGGGTGCCTGTGGCCAGGGGCGTGGCAGCGCAGGCCTTCTCACATGTCCTCAGTCACCCCGCCCTCCTGGCACCCCTGTAGCGTGAGGCCCACTCCAAATATCAGCGAACTGAAGCTCCAAGGGGTAGGGGTGACCTCCGGGTCACACAGCCAGTGAGGGGCAGAAGCAGAACGTAAATAGAGATAGGTTCAGGCAGTAGAAGCAAGGAAGGCTTCCTGGAGGAGGGGGTCCTAGCCCCCGTCCATTCAAAAGTCTTTTACTCAGGGCCGCCTCTGTGCTGGTGCTGGCGGAGCCTGTGGTCTCAAGCTGGGGCGTGGAGGGAGAAGGGCGCTGATCCAGGGCAGGGGAAGCAGTTGGAGGGGGTGCTGTCCCTGAGGGAATTTGGGTTCTGAGACCCAGACCCCAGCTTGGGGGGAATTTCTCCCACCTTCTTACAACAGGCTTAATACCTCACGTCTCCTGAACTTCCCCAGCAGCGTGACTGTCTCTGTGGGAAGCAGACGTTGCAAAATCAGCTCTGGATTGGGGTGGGGCGGGGGGGCAGCACCCGCCTGGCTCAGGCAGTCCCGAGGTGCCCCGGGAAGAAGGGGATCTGATTCAGCACTGGGCTGTGATCCAGAGGGACCAGTGGCGAGACAGCGCTCTGGGGAGGCTGGTGCTCCTTCCAGGCAGAGGGGCCCGGTGTGCTTCCCCATGAGAAGTAGGGTTTGGCTGGCTTATCCACCCTTCACCATTTCCCACGCATCTTCCAATGCGACAGCCTAGGAGTGAGTGTGTCCCCGGCGGGACAGGAGGCTCCTGATTCCTCCTCTGCTCACCCCTGCCCTCCAAACCCCACCACCCTCTCTCCCTCCCTCCCTCCCTCCCTCTCTCTCTCCTGAGCCCTTAGCCAGGCCTGACCATTCCTCTGAAAGCCGGTCGGTCCCCGGGCTGGTGGTGGCCTCCCTGGCAGCTGGGCGCTCCTGGCCAGGTGGCCCGCAAGGGTGCCTTTGCCCTGAGCCAGCAGCTGCCCAGCCCTGGAGTTACCCAACTTCCTAGACATTCTCTGGCTCAGCAGAGACGGATCCCCGAGGTGGGGAACGAGACCACAGCCCTCAGCCCCACGGCTCAGCCTGAGACCACTCTCGGCAACTTCCTTCTTTGCCGACCGCAGAGGCATGAGCGGAAAGGGCCAAATCACAGTGGCAGGGAGAGGCCCCGGGGCCTCATGTTCCCCGGAAGAACGTGCCAGGCCGCCGTTTCTCCTTTTCTCTTGCTTTGAGCGGCCTCATGTCTGTAATGTGTCCTAGGAAAAATGCTCTGGCTCACTCCCTTCAAACCACAGCGTGTTCGGCCTTTTTTAGATGAGAACATCTTCTTGAGTCCCTCCCCAGGCCCCCGGAACCTCTTCTCCATCCACACGCACCCTCCTATGGTCCCTTCTCCCACGTACAACAAAGACTGAAGCTTCCCTCCTCCAGGGCACACGGCTGCCATCCGCGAAGGTCGCCCCAGGGATGGAGGACTTGCAGGCGCCGTGGCAGGCCAGGGGATGGGACTGCAGGCCTGGGCTTTCTTGGCACTCGGCACCCTCAGGGGACGGTCCCTTCCCTACCACCATCCCTGCTGCTCTGCAGCAGCCAGAGACCCATTTATTTTATTTATTTATTATTTTTAAAAGATTTTATTTATTTGACAGAGACAAAGAGAGAGAGGGAACACAAGCAGGGGGAGTGGGAGAGGGAGAAGCAGACTCCCCACTGAGCAGGGAGCCCAATGTGGGGCTCGATCCCAGGACCCTGGGACCATGATCTGAGTCGAAGGCAGACGCTCAACAACGGAGCTCCCCAGGCGCCCCCAGGACCCATTTAAAACAAACCAGTCCCGGGGCTGCCCTGATGCTCCCTCCCCTCTCTGGCCCAGCCACTGGCCCCTCTCCTCGGCGGCTCTCTGCTTTTTCACACATGGTCGTCTTCTCCTTCCACTTCCTGGCTTTTGCCTCTCCTGTCCCCTCTACCAGGGGCACTACTCTGGCCAACTCTTGGGCATCTTTCAGCTCCAATTTAATTGTCACCTCCCCTGGGAAGCCTCCTCGTTGCCAGCATTGCCACACCAATGATGGGCCGTGGCCCCCTGGGTCTGGGCTGGTGTGAGGGGCTGGAGGCCAGGCCTGGGGTCGGGGCGTAGGAAGGCATGCAGACCCTCTCGCGCACGCCTGCTCTCATGGGCCTGCCTCTTGGGTCTGGGGCTGGCTGCTGGGTCTCCCCCGCCCCCTGGGGCAGCTGAGGGCCCTCGAGCTTGCTGACAGGGTCATTTGGCAGCACGGTGGGGACACGCTCGGGGCGAAGCGCTGACCGGAGGGCCAGCCCCGAGGTGAGCTCTGTCTGTGCCTGGGAATGGAGTTGCTGTGCTCCCCCAACTAGCGTCCGCTGTGGTATTGTTTGTTTTTCAGTGAGCAGTGATAAGGGACGCTAGGGCGAGAGTCCAGTTCTGGTCCCTGACATACTCAGGCCCTGGGTGGTTTGGGGTCTGGGGTCCAGTTTCTCCAACTGAATGGGCTAAGGTGGAACAAAATGGCTGGGTTCTCTTCACGTCGGGAGGCATAGACTCTGAGGCTCCTGGGTGCGTGTTTGTGGCCCTGGGCAGAAGTCCATGGCTGTGGACATAGGAACACACTGTGGCAGTGACAACCTGTGACAGGCAGGTTTCCCTGTGTCCCGGGGCCTTCCCTGGGCTCACTGCTGAACAGGCGGGGAAGCGAGGCCTGCAGAGAGGTGCTGGGCCTTGGCTCAGTCAGAGCAGAGTCAGGACTGGGCGCAGGGGCCAGGCCCCTCCCTCCAAACACCCTCTCCCCACCCCCCGTGGCCCAGGTGCGGTCCAGACGCTGTGATGTGAAGACCAAGTTTGTCACTCGCATCCCCTGCACCATGTGTCCCGCTATCAAGAGGCGGATGTGTCCCCCAGGCTGGCTTCGGGAGTTACCAGAGAAGATATCCCAGGACTGCCGGTGCGGGTCCCTGCCTCCGTCTGTCCTTGCCCGCTTCCAGGAGCATCCGTGGGGTAGGGGTGGGGGCGGGGGGCGAGGGAGAGCCTGGCAGGCGTGGGCAGTGAGGGCAGTCACTTGCCCGCATGTCCTTTGGCCCCTCTGGTGGGGCAGAGATAGGGAGGAAAGAACAAGGGGGAGTCGGGGCAGGAGGTGTTTCTTGAGCACCTACCATGTGCCAGGCCCTGTGCTCAGCCCCGGGCCAGGCAGAGAGAGGAGAGGTAGAGCTAGAGTGCTAGAACCCGGTGTGGGGAGGCGGGGCTGGGGGCTGCCAACTGGGAGGCCCTCCTGTCACCCTGCCCACCTTTGTCCCCAGCTACGAGGTGCAGCTGGGGGACTCTTTGATGTCCATGAGTGGCTGCAGCCTGGAGTGCTGGAAGGATGTGGTAGAGAAGGCCTGCTGCCCCGGCTACTGGGGGTCCCAGTGCTATGGTACGGGGTGGGGGCCCCAGCCTTGCTCCTCGTATCCCGGCCCCGGGCTCCCTCTCTGCAGCATCTGCCTGCACGTCCTTCAGCTGTTGCAGTAAATGGATCCTTAGTGAGAGCCAACATAGCTTGGCTGCCTGGCTCTGGCTGCCCCAGGGAGGGGCCGGGCTGCCCAGAGCTGCTGGGGTCTGGGGTGAAGCGTGAGTTCTTCGGGGCACAGCTGAGTTCTGGGGGGGTCCACAGAGTGCCCTGGGGGTGCTGAGACCCCGTGTAATGGCCATGGGACCTGCCTGGATGGCATCAACGGGAACGGGACCTGCGTGTGTCAGGTAAGGGCCCAGCAGGGCTGGGGGGTGGGGGGCAGTACAGAGGCCACACTGACTGGGTGCAAATCTCTGCCAGGAAAACTTTGGTGGCTCCGCCTGCCAGGAGTGCCACGACCCCAACCGGTTCGGGCCCAACTGCCAGTCAGGTGAGTGCTGTCAGGGCAGGGGAGCAGGGCCACTGCCCACGTGGGGGCCCAAGGAGACCTGTCCGTATAGCCAGCCCCCAGCAGCCTCCCTCCCAGCCCCTCAGCCTCACAGTCCCCCTCCTGGGACATGAGCTTTGCTTCCTCCTACCTCCAGCCCCGTGCTGTTCTCGGAGGCCTTCTCCAGTAAGTGCCCTCCGAGCCCCCGGGCTAGGCCAGGTCCCTCCCTCGGGGCTCCAGTCACCACTATGGTCCCGCATCACAGCTCCACACTCCCGAGATTGTGCCTATGGGAGCTGAGTTCTAGAAATGCAGAAATGCAGACTCAGTATCCCTGTGCGTCCCTGTGTGTCCCTCCCAGTGTGCAGCTGTGTGCACGGCGTGTGTAGCCATGGGCCACTGGGGGATGGAAGCTGCCTGTGCTTTGCTGGATACACTGGACCCCGCTGTGACCAAGGTAGGTGGGGCTGCGGGGGCAGCCGGGGGTGGCAGGTCCTCAGTGGCCAGAGCAAAAGAGGCCACTGGGTGAGGGATGGGGCCTGAGCCTCAGCGGGACCTCTGCCCACAGCCTTATTTTTTTCTAAGTAGGAGAGGCACACAGCTGGTGAGGGGGAGGGAATGTCATCTGAGACCTCCACTGCCCAAAGGCCCAGAGAGGGCAAGGCTCTGGCCAAAGTTACACAGCACATTGGGCAGAGCATCTTTGCACCTGTGTTCCTTCCAACCTGGAGCTTTGGGCCACCACAACACTCCCCTCTCTTCATTCAGAGCTGCCAGTCTGCCGGGCCCTGAACTGTCCCCAGAACTCCCAGTGCTCTGCGGAGGCCCCTGCCTGCAGCTGCCTGCCTGGCCACACCCAGCAGGGCAGAGAATGCCGAGGTAAGTCTGTGACCTAGAGGCTGGAGGCCCAAGCTCAGGGTGAGCAGGGGCTGGGAGGACATCCTTTTAAACCTGCAAGTACAGTCTGGCCATTTACGGCAAGTACAACCTGTCCCTGAGGAGGGGCCTGTCCCCAAGGTCTAGATCGACCTGCTCACCTCCTCTTTGGGCCATCGCTATGGAGGTGGTGGGGCTCCTGGGTGCCCAGCTCACTTGGGCGCTCTCTCTCCCTCTCTGCCCTGGCAGCCCCTAACCCCTGCCAGTCATCACCCTGCTCCCCACTGGCCCAGTGCTCGGTGAGCCCCACAGGGCAGGCACAGTGCCGCTGCCCCAAGGACTACCATGGTGATGGGACGGTGTGTCTGCCCCAGGATCCATGCACCATCAACTACGGTGGCTGCCCCAGCAACTCCACCTTGTGTCTGTACAAGAGACCGGGCAAGGTGAGCCGGGGCCCTGGGCCAGGCCTGTGCCGTGCGGCCCCCACCCACGCTGGCGATTCGGCCCGGGCAAATCATGGGCCTCCTGCGAGATGGCCCATTTGTAACTTGGGAGGAGGATGGCAGCCCTGAGCGGGTGGTGTGGCGGCTGAGCATAGCTCTGTGGGTGCTGGCGGTTCTCATGGATGTGACTCCACCCTCCTTCCCCTGCCTGGTGGCCCAGGCCTCCTGCTTGTGTAAGCCAGGCTTGGTCAGCGTCAACAACAATGCCTCTGCGGGCTGCTTCGCCTACTGCTTCCCTCAATCCTGTGACCGGTCGGCCACCTGCCAGGTGGCCCCCGATGGGAAGATCAGGTGGGCACTGGGGGCAGAGCGGACAGGGTGGTCTGGGCAGGGGCAAGGGTGCCCATGTGTGCACCCTCAGGTCAAGGGCCCAGGGGGGGACAGGTGGGTGAGGGCCAGGAGGTAGGGACTGGCCATACCCCCTGCCCTGACCAGCTCTACCCATGGCCCTAGCTGTGTGTGCAAGGAGGGCGAGATAGGGGACGGGCGAGCCTGCTACGGACACCTGCTGCACGAGATACAGAAGGCCGGCCAGCTGGGTGTGGTGTTCCTGCGGCTGAGAGTCTCCCTGGCCATGCTGGGTGTGTGACCCCCCCACCTGCCCATGACCTTGTCCCTCACACCCCGCGGTCCTGGCAGGGAGCGAGGGGCAGACCCTGCACAGATGCCCTGTCTCTGCCCACGAGCTGTGGAAGCAGAGTGGGCTGCGGTGGGGTGCGTGACTGGCGGTGGGGGCTAGCTCCCCCCACGCCCGATCCTGATGCCTCCCATCTACCCTAGACCTAGGCCCAGTGCCCTCCACCCAACTCTCCAAAACCTAGGACTGATGCCTGAGGGTTTCCCAGATCCATTCTGATCCACCCTCTCATGACTCCCAGACCAGGGCTGCCGCCAGATCCTCACCACGTCGGGCCCATTCACGGTGCTGGTACCTTCGCTCTCGTCCGTCTCCTCCAGGACCATGAACGTGAGCCCCGCCCCCTCGAGGAGCTGGCTGCCAGCCCTCGCCTCCTCCCCGGAGCCTGCCCCAGGCTTTTGGGGCCCAGACTCTGGGGAACCAAGGCCCGGGAGGCCTCTTGCCCGCTCTGTTGCTGGGGCAGGGGTGTCATGGCGGCCAGTGGCCACCCTGGGCCCGCTCAGCGCTCTGGTCCCCTTGTGCCCACAGGCGTCCCTCGCCCGGCAGCTCTGCAAACAGCACATCATTGCAGGGCAGCACATGCTGGAGGAGCCAGGGACCCAGCAGACACGCAGGTGGTGGACGCTGGCGGGGCAGGAGATCACCGTCACTTTCAACCGTTTCACGGTAAGGAGGGCCACCCCAGCCCGGGGACCAGGGAGCCCCAGGTGGGGGACGCCGCCCGGACAGAGATGTGGAGGTGGAACGGAGCCTCGGCACACGAGGCTGGCACGTGGCGCAGATGAGCCAGAGGCCTCACGTCTCAGCAGAAATACACCTACAAGTACAAAGAGCACCCCCAGCAGACGTTTGCCATCCACAAGACCAATTACCCGGCGGCCAACGGCGTCTTCCACTTGGTCACCACCCTGCAGTGGCAGCCCCCACCAGAGCTCCCCGAGGACCCCAAGGTAAGCCAGTGCCCTCCCCCCTCTCCCCACCTGGTGCCACTGGGTGACCTCTGAGCCCCACAGAGCTCAGAGAGCGGGCTGGGCGGTTCCGGGAGGGGCTGGAACAGAGGTCCTTCCCCCCTGGGGCTGGAGCAGCCTCCCCCTTTCCTCTGGGGCTCTCATGCTCATCCCTTGCCACAGAGAACCATCGGCCAGATCCTTGCTTCTACTGAGGCCTTCAGCCGCTTCGAAACCATCCTGGAGGTGAGTTTGTTGGGAAAGGCCTTAGCCCATCTGATCTTTTGGGCCAGGACCCCTCATTACTAACTCACCGTGATCTGGGGCTCTGGAGTAGCACGGGCCCTTGCCCATACCCCCATCCTAGAACCTGCCCGTCACCATCCTGGGGTTCTGTGGTAGCATGGACCCATTGCCGCTGTCTCCTACTTCCTCCTCACGGGAGTTCCCTGCAGGCTGAGGGTGGCAGGGCCCCAGCAGGGCTCAGAGGTGGAGGCTGGCCACAGAGCCTCCCTGAGCCTCCTTCCCATTGCCACAGAACTGTGGGCTGCCCTCCATCCTGGATGGGCCTGGACCCTTCACAGTCTTTGCCCCAAGCAACGAGGCTGTGGACAAGTTGCGGGATGGCCGCCTGATCTACCTCTTCACAGCGGTAAGCTCGGCGGGGAGAAGGAATGGGGGAAATGGGGCACCCGGGCCTCCACTGGCCCCTGCCACGCCCTCTCTCTCCTGCCAGGGTCTGTCCAAACTGCAGGAGCTGGTGAAGTACCACATCTACAGCCACGGCCAGGTGAGAGGCTCTGCTCTGGCAGGGAGACCAGCCTGTACCCTCGGCTGGGCTTCTGGAAGTTTGCCTGTAGGTCCTGGTCTCCCAGGGCCCCTTCTCCTCTCCCCATCGATTTGGACACTTAGGGTGCAAAAGAGAGTCTAGGGACCAACGTGGTAGCTGTGAGTCACCTGGGCGGGGCTGTGTGGGGCCCTACGGTATGGCTCGTGCCCGGCCTAAGGGCACCCTCTCCTCCACCCAGCTGACCATTGAGAAGCTCATCTCCAAGGGCCGGGTCCTCACCATGGCAAACCAGGTCCTGGTTGTGAATATCTCCGAGGAGGTGAGCTCCACAAACCAAATCTGGAATGAATGGACCAATGGAGGGGATGGTGATGACTGGCCAGTGGTGGGGCTCTTTCAGACCTGCCTTTGTGCTCCGAGCCCCATGGAGGGCAGGCCCTGCCGGGGGGCCACGTGGGAGGCAGGCACAGCTCGTATCCCTCTCCCGGGGCCCAACAGACAGGGAGGACTCCAAAGATGGGGACGGTGGTTACGAGGGCAGGGGGCTGGCGCTCCATGGGGCTCAGGGCCCGGAGGCTGGAGGGGTTTTGCCAGAGCGGGCAGCGTTGCCAGGGAAAGGGAAGGGGAGATGGCCTGCAGGCTGGGCTGTAGGGGTAAGGGCGGCAGCGGGCCCGGGGGGCTGCCAGGCTGGGCCGCATGTACACTGGGCTCTGCCACAGGGGCGCATTCTGCTGGGACCAGAGGGGCTCCCTCTACGGAGAGTGGATGTGCTGGCCTCCAATGGCGTGATCCACATGCTGGAGGGCGTCCTGCTGCCCCCGACCATCCTGCCCATCCTGCCTAAGCACTGCGGCGAGGAACAGCACCAGATCGTGGCGGTGAACACACACCACGTGCTGGGGGCCCGGGCCTGCTTATTCTCCTCCAGCGGGCGGGGAGGCGGACAGTGGGGCTGGGGCCCGGGCACAGACCCCACCCCCCCACCCCCAGGCCTCAGCGGTCGTGCTGATCGTTCCTTCGAGATCACTCCCACATCTTCTGGCCCTCCGGCCCTGCCCTCTGCTACGATGCCCACACTCCCACACTCAGCCCTTCCCCATGGCAGGGCCTTTGCCCTTGCTCTTCCTTCTGCCCTGGCCCTCCTGTCGTTGACTCTCTCATACCTCAGGCCTTGGCTCCATGCCACTTTCCTAGGGTCCGCTGAATAAATAAACCATGACTAACTCTGCCCCGCCTCCCCCTGCCCTGCCCAGGGCTCCTGTGTGGACTGCCAAGCCCTGAACACGAGCACGTGCCCCCCCAACAGTGTGAAGCTGGTGAGTGTCCCTCGGCCCGGCCCTCAGGGCTGCCCAGTGAGACTTCTGCCCTGGATCAAGGCGGGGAGGAGGGGCTACGGGGCTCAGCTGGACCCGGAGGCTCAGCCCCTCTCGGCCCCACTAAGGGTAGGGGTGCTGGATCCAGAGCGCTGTGAGGTCTCTGGACCCGTGCTGCCTGGCAAAGGGGGCCAGCTCAGGACCCACACCTGCTGACCAGCTTTGCACCGCCCACCCCAGGACATCTTCCCCAAGGAGTGTGTCTACACCCATGACCCTTCTGGGCTCAACGTCCTGAAGAAGGGCTGCGCTCACTACTGCAACCAGACCGTCCTGGTGAGCCTGGGCAAGGGTGCTCCCTGCGCCGTAGGCTGGGGCCTCCCCTCTGGGGCGGAGCAGGCTGCCTCCCTGGGAGAGCTGGGTTGCACCCCCGAGGGGCTGTACCCCGCTGTACAGGTGGGGCCTGGAGGCAACAGCGGCCTGGGCGGTGGGGTGCCGGGGCCCCAGACTCACCCTCCGACACGCTTTGTCTCTCACAGAAACCTGGCTGCTGCAAAGGGTTTTTTGGGCCTGACTGTGCCCAGTGTCCCGGGGGCTTCTCCAACCCTTGCTACGGCAAAGGCAACGTGAGTACGCCAGCCCTGGGGGCAGCTGTGTGAGTCGCCCGGGGCTCCTCGTGTGTCCGAGCTGGCCCACCTCCCTGGCCTCGGGTTTCCCACAGCCGGGCAGAGGAAGTTGGGCCATATTGTTTTTAGTATTTTAATTAGAAATAATTAGAGCAACGCTTTCGGGTCCCCTCCCTCTTTGGGAGCTTTGTACTATCACTCAGTAAACTTTGCTTTACTATCACTGAGTAAACCTTGCTTTCCTGTCCACCACAAAAAAAGAAATAATTAAGTCGTTGGATTTTGGCACCTAAAAGGTGCCAAACCTCATGAAGTTTATTTGTCAGTGGTTTTCCTTTTTTTTTTTTTTTTAAGATTTTATTTATTTATTTGAGAGAGAGAGCGAGAGAGCGAGAGAGAGAGCACGAATGGGGTGAGGGGCAGATGGAGAAGCAGGCTCCCCGCTGAGCAGGGAGCCTGATGCAGGGCCGATGTGGGGACTCCAGGATCACGACCTGAGCCGAAGGCAGACGCTTAACCGACTGAGCCACCCAGGCGCCCCGTCAGTGGTTTCCTTGGGTGTTCTGTTTTTGCCACTTTGTAACGTCAGGGTTACTTTAGTGCTGGGCCAGGGATCAGCACAGGAGTTGTGGATTTCTAGGTTGAGCCAAGGTCACCCATGAAGCCTCCAGGGCCGGGTGTCTTTTGGGGAGCCAGTGATTTGGAGGTCTCTTCCAGGGGGAGAAGGGGCTCAGAGCCAGCCCATGGACAGTGAATGTGTGCGGGGAGGAGATGAAGCCAGTCCCCACCCCATGACCAGTCCTGCTTCCTTCCCACCCCCAGTGCAGCGATGGGATCCGGGGCAATGGGGCCTGCCTCTGCTTCCCAAACTACAAGGGCATCGCCTGCCACATCTGCTCCAACCCAAACAAGCATGGAGACCGGTGCCAGGAAGGTGGGTGGTCCTGGCCCATGCTGCCTGCCAGGGAGAAAAGGGTCTGCTTGGAAAGGGGGCTGGGGACTCCCAAGAAGGGGAATAGAGCACCAGGAGCAAGGGTGAAGGCCAGAGGAAGGGGAGCAGGATTTGAGAACAAAAATAGGTGATGTCTCCTTCCCTCATGCCAGGCAGGACGAGAGCTGTGGTTTAATCTAAAGCATGCAGGATTTGGGTCAGACGCACAGAAGAACTTTCGGATGGTGGTGTTAGGGGCAGGGCAGCTAGAATGGGGTGACTGAAAGCAACAAATGCCCCCTTGCATTTCCCCTGAGTCTGGGGTGGCCCCTGATTTTGTGACCCTGAAGTCATATCTGCGCTGGCTGCCGTCCTCCACATTCCCAGCGCCCCCTCAGCTGCATCCTGGCTCCCAGCCAGCCCTGCCCCCGCCTCACCTTTCCCGTCCCCATGTCCTCCCTGCAGACTGCGGCTGTGTCCACGGTCTCTGTGACAACCGTCCAGGCAGCGGGGGTGTGTGCCAGCAGGGTACGTGTGCCCCAGGCTTCAGCGGCCGCTTCTGTAACGAGTCCGCGGGAAACTGTGGGCCCGCTGAGCAGGCCCAGCACTGCCACCCGCAGGCCCGCTGCATCAGCCAGGGGGGCGTCACCAGGTGAGCATTGCATTTCCTCTCTGCCTCGTCCGTGACCGTGCATGTCGGCTCGTCCAGCCTCCAGCCTCGTGCCGAGGCTCACGGGAGGCCCTTCGTTCCCCTGCCCCAGGTGTGTCTGTCTCGATGGCTTTGAGGGCGACGGCCTCTCCTGTGTGCCCGGAAACCCCTGCTCCCACCCAGACCGTGGTGGCTGCTCAGAAAATGTCAGTCTCATTGGCCCTTCCTGAAGTCCTGACCCGGGGGTGGGAGGGGGACTCCCTTTTCCTCAGCCCCCCGCCCTGCAGCCCTGGGTCACAACCGTGGCTCTCACAGGCCGAGTGTGTCCCTGGGGCCCGGGGTACCCACCACTGCACATGCCACAAAGGCTGGAGCGGGGACGGCCGTGTCTGTGTGGCCATCGACGAGTGCGAGCTGGATGCGAGAGGCGGTTGTCATGCCGACGCCCTCTGCAGCTATGTGGGACCTGGGCAGGTGAGGCTCGGCGGGCCTCGAGCCGGGGTGTGTGTGTGTGGGGGGGTGGGTATTTGTTCCGGGGGACTCTCACCCCACTCTGTCTGGCTCCAGGGGCATCCACTCCGAGAACTCTAGCTCGGGACCTCAAACCCCAGGCACAAGTGAGAATCCAGGTCTGAAAGGTAGTGCCGACCGTTCTAGAAGGAGCCGAAGTGTGCAGGAGACAACACAATGGCCGGGGCGGTTTTAAAGGCAGGCACGTGCCAGCGCCAGCCCCAGGCCGCTTGTTCCACACCTTGTTCCACCAAGGCCGTGGCTCCTGTCCCTCGGGGATGAGGACTCTCATAACCGGGTCCGCGAGTCCTCTGCTCTACCTGGCCTTGGGGCCACTGTCTTCTGACAACTAGGTCCTTCCTTCACTCGTCAGGTTCCCATTGGGTACCAGGCGTGCTGGTCCCTGCTCTAGACTTAGGAATGCCGTGCTGAGCAAAGCAGGAGACTCCTGCCCCAGGGGAGTGACATCCCGAACCCTCTAGACTCCTGGAAATCCAGCTGTGGAGTTTGCAGCCTCAGACTCCAGCCACAGGGTCTCAGCATCTGGAGCTTTCCATGTGAGGCAGGTCAGGCCCATGACCCCAAGCACCGGGCAGCACGCACGTGTCTACTGTGCCGACGGGGAGGCCAGGCCTGGCTGGCTCAGGGTCAGCGAGTGCAGGGACCTGCCCCACGATGGCTGGACCACCCGCCTGCACCCCCAGCTCCATGAGGAGGTACACAGTTCTAAAGTGCTGAACTGAGGACCGGAATAAGCAGGTTGAGATGCCCCCAAGTTGCAGACGAGGGCAGCTGAGATCTGGGAGTATCGCCAGTCACTCAGCTGCAGTGGGAACAAGCCGCGGACTCGGGCATTTAGCGGGAAGGATCAGAGCGGGCTGGCAGGGTCAGAGGTGAGCGTGTGCCGCCATCCTGGGGCCGGCTTCGAAGACATCTGCCCACTCACCACACACTGCTGGCCTCTCTCAGGCCTGAGAGCAGAGGGGTACCAAGTCCCCACGGATGCTTCCCTGCCAATGCCATCCCTTCTCTGGACTCTTCCTGAGAGCCAGGCTCCCCTCAGGGCCTCGGGCTTCTGGTCTGGAACAGGGATCTCCATGGAGGGGTGTGGGAGAAGCTCCTCGGGTCTGAACAAGCTTCCCCAGGGGACAAGGCCCACGGAGAGCGGGGGAGCAGAGGAGGAGAGGGTGGGCGCCCCTGGTGAGCTGAGGCCCTCTGCTCCCAACCTCTCCAGAGCCGGTGCACCTGCAAGCTGGGGTTCGCCGGGGATGGCTATGAGTGCAGTCCTATTGACCCCTGCCGGGCAGGCAACGGTGGCTGCCATGACCTGGTGAGGGGCCGTGGGGGCCCAGGGCCCGGGGGAGGCTCTCTGGGTGGGCCTCAGCTCTGGTCCACTCTCTGGGTGTCCCTGTCTATGGCCAGGATTGGAATCTCTCTAAGCCCCAAATCCAGCCCGTGTCACCCCTTCACCCACAGCATAGGGCTTCCATTCCTTGTTAAGGCCCCAGCCCCTGCCCTGCCTCCAGTCTCCACCCCCTGCTGCATTCCGTGCTCCTGTGCCTACCCTGACCTCTCTCTGCCCATGTGTTCTGGAAGGCCTCCCAGCTAGCTCCTCCTGCTCTCAGGGCAGGCCCTCCCTTCCTGGGTGCTCCCTCTGCCCTGGGCTTTGCCAACCCATCTGTCATGATGGGCTGGGGTAACTCACGTCAAATGCTCAGTGATCTTGGAGAACAGGGCCACGCAAACCAAGGGAGCAACATGAATGCAGACTGGCTGGCTGGATAGACAGATGGTGGGGCCGGTTGGCAGGACAGACAAACGGCAGGAGGATAGGTGATAAGGGTGAGATGTAGGCTGGGTGCTGTCCAGCTTGCCATCTGGGTACTGAATGGAGGACCCTGTCTCTTTGCCCCACCCCCACCCCAGGCCACCTGCCGGGCAGTGGGGGGAGGTCAGCGGGTCTGCACATGCCCCTCTGGCTATGGGGGTGATGGCTTCAGCTGCTACGGAGACATCTTCCGGGTGAGTGGGTCCCTATGCTTGGGTCGGGGGAGTCCTCTAGTGCACCTCAGGTGAGAAAGGACAGTACTCAGGGTCCTGGTGAGGAAGGGGCTTGGATTTGTCCCTAGACTGATGACCTCAGCTCTTTCCCTCCCCTTAGGAGCTGGAGGCAAATGCCCACTTCTCCGTCTTCTACCAGTGGATCAAGGTAGGACAGGGCAGAATACTGGGGTTGAGGCTCAAATCCAGGAGGCCTCCCTGGATGCAGAAGTGCCACATAATATCTCCAAGAGCTGGAGGTGGGGGCAGGCCTCGAGGCTGGGAGCAAGCAATCTCAGGTGGCTACCTTCATCACTCCTGTCCCCCTGTCACCACACGCACAGAGTGCTGGCCTCACTCTTCCCACCGACAGCCGAGTCACTGCCCTGGTGCCCTCTGAGTCTGCCATCCGTAGGCTGAGCCCCGAGGACCAGGCCTTCTGGCTACAGCCAAGGGCACTGCGGCAACTGGTCAGGTGGGCAGCCAGGGCAGGGACCTGGGGTGGGGAAGAGATTTCCGTGCGAGACCCCGCCCCTCCGGAGGTTCTCATCCCAGCTGTGTCCACCTCTTGGGGTGGAGCCCAGTCCCAGGGGTCTCTGTTGGTTATACTAACCTGGCTCCACGCCCCACAGGGCCCATTTTCTCCAGGGTGCCCTGTCCGAGGAGGAGCTGACCCGGCTGGGTGGGCAGGATGTGGCCACCCTGAGCCCTACCACACGCTGGGAGATTCACAACATCAGTGGGGTACGTGGTGAACGCTGGGCAGCAGAGGGGGCCGTGCAGAGCATGGGAGGGAACTCGAGTGGCCACCATCTTCCCAGGCCAGGGCCCCCCGGGGCTGAGCTTGAAGTCACCGGGACCTGCCCAGGGCCAGCAGGGGGCTACTCAGTGTCTTTGGGCCGTCAGGGACCGCCCTGCCTGGGGTCGTCTGTGTCTCTCTGTCTGCACGTGCACGCCTGTCGCTCTTGTGCATGGGCCCTGGGTGGGTCTGGAGGCCATGGTAGGTTCTGCGGGTGTCCGGGCCAGGCTGGGGGCCGCCAGGAGATGCCTGTGTGCCCAGCAGAATCTCTGTTGGTGTGGTACTGACTCTTAAGTGTCCATCTGTGCCTACCCGTGGCTGAGCTCTGCTTGCTGCTTTCCAGAGGGTCCGGGTTCAGAACGCCAGCGTGGATGTGGCCGATCTCCTCGCCACCAATGGTGTCCTACACGTCCTCAGCCAGGTACGGCCAGAGGGGTGTGTGGGGGGAACTGCCTAGGCCAAGGGGCACTGGCGTGCTGACCAGCCCCGGTGCCCCCCACGGCAGGTCTTACTGCCTCCGAGGGGGGACGTGCTACCCGGGCAGGGCCTGCTGCAGCAGCTGGACCTGGTGCCTGCCTTCCGCCTCTTCCGGGAGCTGCTGCAGGTGAGCAACAGAGGAGAGAGGGGGAGTGCCTGCTTGGGGCGCCCTCCCCCGGGCCTGCAGGGAGCTGGCTGGCTCCGGGGTTGGGGCCGAGGGCGATTAGGCCCATCGGTGACCCTGGCGCCTTTTGCCCTTAGCACCACAAGCTGGTGCCCCAGATTGAGGCTGCCACGGCCTACACCATCTTCGTGCCCACAAACCGCTCTCTGGAGGCCCGGGGCAACAGCAGCAGGCTGGTGAGGCCACGGGGATGGGGCCACTGCAGGGGGAGGATGAAAACCGGAGTGAGCCTCCCATCCCATGGCAAAGGGACAAGGCGGGTGGAATGTCCTGTCCTGGGCACTTGGCAGTCCCTGGGGCCCCTGAGCTGCTCTGTCGGGCTTCCCGGCCAGGACGCAGACACCGTGCGGCACCACGTGATCCTGGGGGAGGCACTCTCCGTGGAGGCCCTGCAGAGAGGGGGACACCGCAACTCGCTCCTGGGCCCCGCCCACTGGCTCGTCTTCTACAACCATAGCGGCCAGGTCTGCAGGGGTGGGGGGCAGGGAGCCTGCAACCTCTGCTCCAGAGACCACCCATCCTGGGAGACCCCCCCTGCTCCCCCACCAGCCCATAGCCCCAAGGCGAGGGTGGTAGTGTTGGGGGATGGACTCAGCCTCCCACCGCACTCCTCAGCCCGAGGTGAACCATGTGCTCCTGGAAGGCCCTGTGCTGGAGGCCCCTGGCTGCTCGCTGTTTGGCCTGTCGGGGGTCCTGACCGTGGGCTCAAGCCGCTGTCTGCACAGCCATGCCGAGTCTCTTCGGGTGAGAGCCTGAGGCCCAGGGGTGTGTGGGGGGGTGTGGGGAGAAGAGCTGGGGGGGGTTCGGAGCTGGGAGATGCTGATTCACCTGGCTGGCAGGGAGGGGCACTTGGACAGGGTGGGAGAGGAAGGAAGGTGGGTTTGGGGGCCCCATCCCAGGACCACCTGACTCCCCCCCACCTCCCCAGGAGAAATGTGTAAACTGCTCCCGAAGATTCCGCTGCACTCAGGGCTTCCAGCTGGAGGTGAGGACAGGGGCTCAGCAGCGCTCTCTGCTCTCTCTGCTCTGAAGGTGTCCAACTCCCAGGGCCCAGCTGGCTGTGCCCCCCCCCCCACCGCCTTGGGGCATGGAACAGCCAGGGCTGCTCCACCTCTCCTAGAGGCCAGGGCTGCCTGCACCCAGGTCGGCCTGTCTCCACCCGTCCCTGATCTGCTGTCCTGCTCATCCATTGATCCCTGTCTGCCTGGCTTCCCGTTCACTGCCCTGGCCCTACCCAAGCCGCAGGCTAAGCCCTCCTGCCTGTCCCCGTTTCCAGATCACCCCCAAGAAGAGCTGTGTCTACCGATCTGGCTCCTCCTTCTCCCGGGGCTGTTCTTACACATGTGCCAAGAGGATCCAGGTTTGCCTCGCAACACCCCCACCCCCGAGTCTGACCAGAAAGGGGGAGGTGGGAGGGCAGGCCCAGGGGAGGAACCCGGACTAGATGTCAAGGGCAAAGGCAGGACTGGGACTAGGGTGAGGCCAGTGGAGCCAGGGCCCAGACGGAGAGGTCTGAAGTCAGCGGGGCCAGTGTCTGTCCTGTGGCCATGCCCCAGGGAGTGGGGATGGGAAGAGGGCAAAGGGGCTCAGCCTGGACCCCATCAAGCAGGCCCCAGGGGCCGCTGTGGGCCAGCAAAGTCGGTCCCTCACTGTGGGATCCGGCACAGCCATCCCCGGCCCAAGGCTCCGTTTCCTCACCCCTGCCACGGGGAGGGGAGGGTCGTAGAAGGTAGCCTCCATTTCCCTGGTCCCTGCTCCCGTCATTGGCTGGCTTCGCGGCCTGTCCCCACCCCCACCCCCCGCCCCGCTCATTTCCCTCCTCCCCACCTCTGGCCTGGGCCCGGCCCCTCCCTGCCCCCTCCCCACAGGTGCCCGACTGCTGCCCTGGCTTCTTTGGCACACTGTGCGAGCCGTGCCCGGGGGGTCAGGGCGGTGTGTGCTCGGGCCACGGGCAGTGCCAGGACAGGCTCCTGGGCAGTGGGGAGTGCCGCTGCCACGAGGGCTTCCACGGAACCGCCTGTGAGATGTGTGAGCTGGGCCGCTATGGGCCCAACTGTGCTGGAGGTGAGCGCCGGGGAGGGCAGAGGACAGCAAGCGCGGAGACAGCCGGCTGGGGCAGGGGGGAGGCACTGGGCAACTCCTGTCCTCCCTTGTCCTGCTCCCAGTCTGTGACTGTGCCCATGGGCTGTGCCAGGAGGGGCTTCAGGGGAACGGAAGCTGTGTCTGTAACGTGGGCTGGCAGGGCCCCCGCTGTGATCAGAGTGAGTGGCTCAAGGGGGAGAGGAGGGTGACTCCTGGGGAGGTACTTCCCCGGTCCAAACGACCAGAACCATCTTCCTACCCCCTCCCCTCCCAGAGATCAGTGGCCCTCAATGCCCAAAGAAGTGTGACCCCAATGCCAAGTGAGTGAACTCAGCCTGGGGTGGGGGGGCAAGCGGGTAGGGGCCCTGGGGTCCGGCCCGGCCCAGGCTGAGCTAATGCCATCCCTCCCAGCTGCCTACAGGACTCGGCGGCGGCCCCGGCCTGTGTCTGTGCCGCAGGATACTCGGGCAACGGCAGCTACTGTTCAGGTTGGGTCACGTGGAATGCTCCGGGCGCCCACCCTGAGATTTTCCGTGAAATTTCACCCTGACGCTTTCCCTGCAGAGCCCTCGCCAGTCCTTCTGGGGCCAGTTTCCATCCGGTTTCCATCTTGGGTCTCACCCTTCCCTCTGACCTCTTCCTTTCTCCCCTGCCCTCCTCCCCTGGCCCCACGCTGTCCCTGTGTCTGCTCCTCACAACTCTCTGGGATCATCTGCCCCTAGAGGTGGACCCCTGTGCGCAGGACCATGGGGGCTGCTCCCCCCACGCCAACTGCACCAAGGTGGCGCCTGGGCAGCGGACGTGCACCTGCCAGGATGGCTACACAGGAGATGGGGAGCTGTGCCAGGGTGAGCCTAGGACCCCCACCCTGGGCGTACGTGGGGCCAGGGCTTTGGCTTCAGTGTTATAAGACTAGGTGAGGCTGAGGGGCCCACGGGGGGCACTGAGAGCCTGGCAGTGAGCACCTGAAGGCACAGATGAATGGAAGGGCTGCCTAGGGCTGCCTCTCATCCTAGTGTCTCCCCCCACAGAAGTCAACGGCTGTCTCATCCGCCACGGGGGCTGTCACATGCATGCTGACTGTATCCCCACAGGCCCCCAGCAGGTCAGCACAACAGAGGCGGACACGGAGGCTGTACCATTCCCTCAGAGGGTGGGCCCCCCTCAGACCGGGGAGGAGGTGCTCCTTCTGTCCAGGGTGCTGGACTGCTCTTGGGTCCCAGCAGCCGCACTGATCAGGATTTGGGACAGGTCTCCTGCAGCTGCCGTGAGGGTTACAGCGGGGATGGCATCCGGACCTGCGTCCTCCTGGACCCTTGCTCCCAGGTCAGGCCCCAGCCCCACCTCATTTCACAGGGGAAGGGGACCGAGGCGGGAACCAGCCCTCCTTGCCCCTGTCAGGGTCCTAAAGGCCTCTGAAGGGTGAGCCACCCTCCCACAGGCTCGAATCTGACTGCTCAGTAGCCAACAGGGCTTTGGGGTTTGGACAGGGTTCTTCATGGCCCCTTACCCAGGGCTGGGTGGGGCAGAAGAGTCTGGGAGCCACTGATGCCTCTCTCTCCTGTCCCTACATCAGAATAATGGAGGCTGCAGCCCCTATGCCGTGTGCAAAAGCATGGGGGATGGCCAGAGGACATGCACCTGTGACGCAGCCCACACAGTGGGCGATGGCTTCACCTGCCGCGCCCGAGTCGGCCTGGTAATGATGCCCAAGCTGGACCCCTGACCCAGCCTTGGCTATGACCTCCATGGGCCTGACCCATGATATTGGTCAAGACCCCAGATTTGTTCCTGATCCTGGCCTTGACCATGACCCTGACCCCCTGACTCCACCTGGGCCTGACCCAGCTATGATCCATGAAATGAATCCTGACCCCAGCTCAGACCCCCGGCTTTCCTTTCCTCATCTCTGCCTTGGCCAGACCTTGGGCCGCAGGTGCTGGGACAGGCACCAGGCCCTGAATGGGGGCCACCCAAAATCTGAGCTGATCCTCGCCCCCCCCAGGAGCTCCTTCGGGACAGGCATGCCTCATTCTTCAGCCTCCACCTCCTGGTAAGTGACTAACTGGCTTCCAATTCTTCGGTCCAGAGAGCCTGGGCCTCTCTGATCTGCAGGTCCCACCAGTCTCTGGGCCTCCATGTTCTCATTTGGTCAAGGGGTTGGCTGTTCTGGACTCTCAGAGCCCAAGTCTTTTTTTTTTTTAAGATCTTATTTATTTGAGAGAGTGAGCGAGAGAAAGCACAAGCCAGGGTGGGGGCGGGGGGGAGAGGCAGAGGGAGAAGCAGGCTTCCCACAGAGCAGGGAGCCCGATGATACAGGACTTGATCCCAGGACCCTGGGATCATGACCTGAGCCAGAGGCAGATGCCTAAACCACTGAGCCACCCAGACGTCCTCTCAGAGTCCAAATCTTTCCTGGAGGATCCATGGAAGCCCCGAGTTGGTCACAAGTTGCCCTTCTTCTGCTCAAGCTGTTACTGCCTCCCCACAGGAATACAAGGAGCTCAAGGGTGATGGGCCTTTCACAGTTTTTGTGCCTCGAGCAGATCTAATGACCAACCTGTCGCAGGTAAAGCAACCCTCCCCCACCCCCAGCTAGGCTGGGAAGGGATGGGCCCTGTGGGGCAGGGATGGGCAGGGGTGGGTGTGGGGCGGGCAGAGGCAGCAGTCAGGGGTCTCCTTCAACCTTCATGACTCCTACTGCAGGATGAGCTGGCCCGGATTCGCGCCCATCGCCAGCTCGTGTTCCGCTACCACGTGGTCGGCTGCCGGCAGTTGAGCAGCCAGGAGCTGCTAGAGGAAGGCTATGTCACCACGCTCTCGGGGAACCCGCTGCGCATCCACGAGAGGGAGGTGGGCCTGTCCCTGGGCTGGCCCGCCCCCGCCCTGGACCTCCCCAGAGAGCCGGGACTCAGCAGCTTTCAGGCCCTGCCCCTGTGCTCCTGGGCCCCGTCCCTGCGCCTTTAAGACCCTCTCACCTCCCCTGGGCCGGGACAGGGCTTTAGTGAGAGGGAGATAGACGAGTCCGGCTCCGGACCGTGCCCACTACCGAGGGCCAGTCCCCAGGCCCAGGACTTCCGAGCCTGGCCCTGTGCCCTTGCCCGACCCTCCAGCCCCGCCTGGCGGTCGGTGGTGTTTCCCCGCGCTCTTGGCCCCGCCCACCTGCCCCAAGACTCGCCTAGTGCAGGCCCCGCCCCCATCTGGGGCCCCACCCCTCAGCTTCATTCGGTCCTGGGCCCCACCTCCAGGGCAGCATCTATCTCAATGACTTCGCGCGGGTGGTGAGCAGCGACCACGAGGCGGTGAACGGAGTCCTGCACTTCATCGACCGAGTCCTGCTGCCTCCCGACGTGCTACACTGGGAGCCTGACGCTGCCCCTGTCCTGCGGGTATGACCTGGACACAGGCCTGGGAGCTTGCCAGGGCCCTCCCGTGCTCTCTCCCTGCCTGACCTCGAGGCTCACCAGTGCCTTCCCGCAGAGAAACGTCACGGCCGCCGCGGAGGGCTTCGGTTACAAGATCTTCAGCGGCCTTGTGAAGGTACTGCTCCCGCGTGTGGGCATTTGTGCCCGTGCGTGTGTATGCAGATGCCTGTCCATGTGTGAGTGACTGTGTATGTTCACCTGTCTGCACACTCACCTGTGTGTAAGCCTATCCCTCGTGTGCGCACAGGCTGTGTATCTGAGCCTCCCAGTGTGAGCACAGGGGTGTGTGCTTATGTGTGCCCACGTACCTGAGAATAGTCGAGGTGTGTGTGCAAGTTTATCCCTGCGTGTATGTCCGTGTGCATCTGCCTGGGATGGCAACAGAAGAATGCGGCTGGCGGGAAGGCCACCTGGGTCCCTGGAGCCCCTTCCTGGCCTCTGTGGTCCACTCCCCTACCTCTGCCCCCCAGTCTCTGATTGTCACACCTCTGCTAATCCTTGCCAGGTGGCTGGCCTCCTGCCCCTGCTTCAGGATGCGTCGCATAGGCCCCTCACCATGCTGTGGCCCACAGACTCCGCCCTGCAAGCCCTGCCACCTGACCGCCAGACCTGGCTGTACCACGAAGACCACCGTGACAAGCTGGCAGCCATCCTTCGGGGCCACGTGATTCGCAACATTGAGGTGGGTCTCCCCCCAGTCCTTGGTCCCCACTACCTGCCACCCAGCCTGCCCGCCCAGCTCCAACCGTAGCTCCATCTGCTCAGGCCTTGGCATCTGACCTGCCCAACCTGGGCCCTCTCCGCACAATGCATGGGACCCCCATCTCCTTCTCCTGCAGCCGTGCCCGGCCGGTGAGTCTGGGAAGCAGGGGGCAGGGGCTCTGGAAGTGGGGGGCTGCGGCGCACCTGTGACCCCATGTACTCTCCTTCCTCTGCCCGCAGGGTGAGCTCACAGTGGGTGAGGAGGACGCCCGCATCGTGCAGCGGCACCTGCCCTTTGAGGGTGGCCTGGCCTATGGCATCGACCAGCTGCTGGAGCCACCTGGTCTTGGTGCCCGCTGTGACCATTTTGAGACTCGGCCGCTGCGGCTGGTGAGGGAGGCCATAGGTCAGAGGTGGACAGGCCGGGACCCTAGCCGACCTGTCCTGTTGATCCATCTGATCTTACTGTGTTGGCTTCTGTTCCTTTCAGAAGATCTGCAGCATTTGCGGGCTGGAACCGCCTTGTCCTGAGGGCTCACAGGAGCAGGTGAGGCCCTGGGAGCTGGGTGGGGGTTCAGGCAGGGACCAGGGACCAGGGACCACGAAGCTTAGGCTGTTTGACTCCTCTTGGCCCAGGGCAGCCCCGAGGCCTGCTGGCGATACTACTCAAAGTTCTGGACATCCCCTCCACTGCAGTCCTTGGCCCTGCGCAGCATTTGGGCCCGGTCCAGCCTCTGGGGCCAGCCCCAAGGCCTGGGCAGGGGCTGCCACCGCAACTGCGCCACCACCACCTGGAAACCCAGCTGCTGCCCGGGTCACTACGGCAGCGAGTGCCGAGGTGAGGGTCCTGAGGTTGCTGCGGCCACTGCTCCTGAGGAAAGGTGTCGGGGCGGTGGGGCGGTGGGGCGGGGGCAGGTGTGGGTGCTGAGGGCGTTTTACCGGGACAGAGCACTGGGGGGGGGGGGGGCGCGCGTCTGGAGGATTCTCAGCAGCAAGGGGACTTGGGGGGCAGGGAGTGGCGCCTTCTGGAAGAGGCTTGGCTGCCCCAGGTGTGGGACGGACAGCGTGGCCGGGCTGGGGCTGCGTGTGGTAGGGGTCCTGAGGAGAGCCCCGCTCCCTTGCCCTCCCCCCTCCTCCCGCTAGCTTGCCCTGGCGGTGCCAGCAGCCCCTGCAGTGGCCACGGCGTGTGCGTGGACGGCATGAGTGGCAGCGGGCAGTGTCAGTGCCACGCGAGGTTTACAGGGACGGCATGTGAACTCTGTGCCCCGGGGGCCTTTGGACCCCAGTGCCAAGGTGGGCTGTCCTGCCCTCTCCGCCCCGCCCCCCGCCCTCTGAGCCCCCGGGCCGCCCTCCCCGGCCCCGCCCTCTGAGACCCGGCCCCGCCCCCGCCCTCTGAGCCCCGGGCCGCTCCCCCCAGCCCCCCCCCCCAGCCCCGGGCAACCCCCGCACCCCCCCCCCCGCCCCGCCCTCGGCCCCATCCTCCTGCCTGTGCCTCTCCCCAGTCTGCCGCTGCAGCTCCCATGGCCGCTGTGATGAGGGCCTGGGGGGCTCCGGTTCCTGCTTCTGTGACGAGGGCTGGACGGGGCCGAGCTGTGAGGTGCAGCTGGGTGAGTGCTCTTTGTGCCCCATCATCCACCCCCCCCACCCCCGCATGCTTGTGCTGGCTTGCGGACACCGGCCGGCCCCGGCTGCACACTCAGGCTGAGGCACTTGGGGGGTGGGGTGGGAAGGGGGTTGGCGGCCTCCAAGAGGGCAGCTCCTCACCTGGGTGTGTGGGGTGGGCCCTGGGGCGACAGAGCTGCAGCCCGCGTGTGCCCCGCCCTGCGCACCCCAGGCCGTGTGCCGCGCCGACAGCAGCTGTGAGTGCGGCCTGGGCTATGAAGGGGACGGCCACACGTGCACAGGTGAGCAGGGGGGTGGGATGCGAGGTGGGGGGCTCCCCCCGCTCCTGTGCCCTGGTCCTGCCACTCTCTCCCTGCCCCCAGTGGCAGACCTGTGCCGGGTCGGGCACGGCGGCTGCAGCGAGCACGCCAACTGCAGCCAAGTGGGCACCGTGGTCACCTGCGCCTGCCTGCCCGCCTATGAGGGCGACGGCTGGAGCTGCCGGGCCCGCGACCCCTGTGCCGATGGCCGCCGCGGGGGCTGCAGTGAGCACGCGGACTGCTTGAGCACCGGCCCGGTGAGCAGCCCGGGAGCCGCGGAGCTGGGGAGGCTCCACAGAGCGGGCGCCCCCGCCCTCCCGGGGCCCTCAAGAGCACCCACCCGTCTCCCGCCCCAGAACGCGCGGCGCTGTGTGTGCCATGCTGGCTACGTGGGTGACGGACTGCAGTGTCTGGAGGAGCCGGAGCCGCCCGTGGACCGCTGCCTGGGCCAGCCACCGCCCTGTCATGTGGATGCCGTGTGCACGGACCTCCACTTCCAGGGTGTGCCTCCCTGCCCGCCCCCAGTGCCCCTGCTTGCCCTCGGTGCCGCCGGGCTGATCACGCGTCCCTCCCTTCTGCAGAGAAGCAGGCTGGGGTCTTCCACCTCCAGGCCCCCAGTGGTCCTTCCGGTCTGAACTTCTCAGAGGCCGAGGCGGCCTGTGGGGCCCAGGGAGCTGTTCTTGCTTCTCTCCCTCAGCTCTCTGCTGCCCAGAAGGTGTGTGGGGCCCAGGGGTCTGGAGCCAAGCCTGTGGGGGCCCTCTCGAGTTGGGCCTTAGGCTTCAGCATCCCCTCCTGCCCCTACAGCTGGGCTTCCACCTGTGCCTCGTGGGCTGGCTGGCCAACGGCTCGGCTGCCCACCCAGTCGTCTTCCCCGCGGCAGACTGTGGCGGTGGTCAGGTAGGCGTCGTCAGCCTGGGCGCCCGGAAGAACCGCTCGGAGCGCTGGGACGCCTACTGCTACCGCGAGCTAGGTGCAGCCCCCTGCCCCAGGGCCCCCCACCCCACCCCACCCCACCCCACCCCACGGCTTGGCTCCTTCCCACTGACCCCTCCCCCCCGAACTGCCTTTCCCGCAGACGTGGCCTGCCGGTGCCGCCGCGGCTTTGTGGGTGACGGGACAAGCGTGTGCAATGGGAAGCTGCTCGATGTCCTGGCTGCCACCGCCAACTTCTCCACCTTCTATGGGGTGTGCGGGGGCCCAGCCTTAGGGCTGAGGGTGTGGTGGGGGCAGGGGCGTAGCTGGGGTCCCTGGGGAGGGAGCCAGCCCATGGTCCTATCTCCCCCCGCATCCCCAGATGCTGCTGGGCTATGCCAACGCCACCCCACGGGGTCTGGACTTCCTGGACTTCCTGGATGACGAGCTCACCTACAAGACACTCTTCGTTCCTGTCAACGAAGGCTTCCTGGACAACATGGTAACTGGCAGGGGCTGTGGGCAGAGCCAGGCCCGACGCTGACCCCTCGGGCTGGCCTGGGCCAACAAGCCTTGCTCTGCCCACAGACGCTGAGTGGCCCCGACCTGGAGCTGCACGCCTCCAACACCACCTTCCTGAGTGCCAATGCCAGCCAGGACACTGTGCTCCCTGCCCACTCGGGCCTCAGCCTCGTCTTCAGTGCTGCGGGCCCTGACAACAGTTCCTGGGCCCCGGTGGTGAGTGTGGCCACCGCACCTCCCCCGCTGGCCCCAGCCGTCACTCACCCACTAGGCCTGACTCTGGTCTCCCTACAGGCCCCAGGGGCAGTTGTGCTTAGCCATGTCGTCGTGTGGGACATCATGGCATTCAACGGCATCATCCACGCTCTGGCCAGGCCCCTCCTGGCCCCCCTACAGCCTGTGAGTTGGCGGGGGTGGGGGTGAGGGGACAGCCCTGGCCTGTCTGGCCTTGACGCTCTCCTTGTTTACAGCGGGCAGTGGTGGCACCCGAGGCTCCGCCTGTGGTGGCAGGCGTGGGGGCTGTGGTAGCCGCTGGAGCGCTGCTTGGTCTCGTGGCTGGAGCCTTCTACCTCCGTGCTCGAGGCAAGGCCACAGGCTTTGGCTTCTCCACCTTCCAGGTAGGGCCGTGTTGCGTTGGGGTGGGGGGGCTGGAGGTGTCTGGGTCCGTCCATCTTGCTGGAGGCCCCTCACCACTCACCTCTCTTCTCAGGCGGAAGATGATGCTGAGGAAGACTTCTCCCCCTGGCAGGAAGGGACCAGCCCAACCCTGGTGTCTGTCCCCAACCCAGTCTTTGGCAGCCATGATGCCTTTTGTGAGCCCTTTGACGTGAGTGTGGGGTGTCAGGGGCGGTAGAAAGGGGCCCAGGGCCTGGTTTCGGCCCAGCCACAAAGGGTCCTCTCCCCACCCCCCAGGACTCGCTCCTGGAGGACGACTTCCCTGACACCCAGAGGATCCTCGCGGTCAAGTGATGCGGCTAGGGCCGGACAGAGGCACAGGGAGAGGGAGACCACTTTTATTGCCCGTCCTGGACCGACACCCAGCGTGGGCGGGGCAGGAGGGGTTAGAACCTGCTCTGGACAATAAAGGTGCCCTCAGCGGATGTGGGCCATGTCGCCAAGAAAGGGCGTCTTCATGCAGCCGGTGCAGAGCTGATCCATCCAGAGCGGCGCCTCATGCTGCAGGGGCGTGCGGCGCGGGTAGAAGGTGAAGTCGACACGGTAGTTGAGCAGACAGCTGAGGGAGGCCATGTAGAGGTCAGAGAAGCGCACGAGGCGCCGGGAGAAGTAGGTGGGGTTGTGGAAGGTGCGGAAGATGCTTCCAAACTGGGCGTTGAACAGGGCCTTGGTGACGCACCTGAGGAGGAGAATGGGGCGCTCGAGGGGGCCCGGGAGCCATAGGGCTGGAAGCGCTCCCTGCACCCTCCCCTGCCCACCTCAGCTCCTGCCGCTCCTTCATCCAGGCCGCCAACACCTGCTGCGATTCGGCGTCCTGGTACGTCTGCAGGAGCCAAGGGGGTGCGGGGGGTGAGCCCAGGCGGCAGCCCTGCCCCCCCCCGGCCCCCGCCCCTGCGCCCCCACCTGCATGCGCTCCAGCAGCCCCGTGAGCGCCTGCTGCCACGTCAGCGAGTGCATGTACTGCTCCGTGTTGATGATGCGGATCTCGCGCTCTAGCTCGGGGATGATGGCCCCCGTTCGCCAGCCATGCCGCAGCATGAGGTCCTGCAGGGCAGGGTGGGGGCGGGCTTCAGCAGCGGCGAGCGGGCCTCCCTCCCTCCCGCCCTCCTCACTGGGTGGGCCCAGCCTCGCCCCCTCACCGCCAGGTCACTGTACAGGTGGTCCCCGAAGTAGAGCACGCGGGGTCCACGCCATTCTGTCAGGCGCAGGAAGTCATACAGGTTTCCCTGGGGAGAGTGGGGGGGGGGCACCGCCGAGCGCAGTGTACCAAGGGGCTCCCGTGGGGCTGCCAGAACCCCGCCTTGTTCTCCGCTGCTCCTCCCAAATCCCCAGAGGCAGCGAGGCCCCTTCAGCTGGACGCCCGGCTGCCCTTTCCCGTGGCCTCACTGTCCCCAGGCTCTGACCCTTGTCTCCTCCCCCTCACAGTCAGGAAGGGGGTCTGCCCACCCCAGGAACCTCCTGTAGGCCCGGCACGGTGCCCTGTGCCTCCAGGGCCTCCCCTCCCTGTGGCCTCACACCCACGCCAGGGATCCCACGCTGTGGGAAACAAACCACAGCAGCAAGCCCATGGCCCCAGAGCCCTTCCTGTCCCGGGCGTGAGCCCAGAGGGACCCGGCAGACCTCCTGGCGAAGCCATCTGCCCCTCCTGCTCCAGAGCCAGAGCAGAGATGAAAGCGGTCAGGCTCAAACACGACAGGGAGCTCTCGCGAGAGCCGAAAGCGGGGCAGGGGGCCCAGGGCAGGAAGTGCAGCAGCCGCCGGGCAGGAGCCCACCCCCCAGCAGTGAGCAGAACCCGCACGCAGCACGAAGCGGTTACTACAGCAGCCCGTGCCTGCCGTGGCCAGGGGAAGCCAGCCACGGCGGCCACAGGTGGTTGCCAAAGGCTTAATTGTCAAATTAAGCTCAGGTGGGGAGTCAAGTACGAGGGGGGCGGAGTGCCGCGGATGGGCCCCGAACTGAGAGACAATCTGGAGGTACAGGAGCTGCGTCAGGCAAGATGGAGCCTGGGGTTCCTGCATGGGGAGCCAGGGAGGGAGCGCAAAGAAAGACGAGAAGCAAGCAGGATCCAGCGCACACCCACAGTGAAACTTCAGATTGTCAGGCACAAAGAAAAGGCTAAAAGCTGCCAAAGGAGAAAAAGTCCCATGTTCCCCACAAAGCTGCGTGACCCTCCTCAGGCTAAGATGCCAAGACAGAGGAGCACGTCCCCCTCAAAGTCAAAGGAAAGAGCCTGCGCCCAAGGGGGCCACAGAGTTGGGGGCCACGGGGCTATGAGTACTGCCTCAGGCCAGGCCTCGGCTCTGGATACCCCCGAGTGCTTCCCCTGACCCCACTGCTGACTTCCTCCCTCCCCCAGCCCCTGAACCTCCACCCTCACGGAGACTAGCTCAGCCAGGATTTCCGCATTCCATCCAGGGCCAAATGCCTTAATCCTGCTCCTTAATTGCCACCCAAACCCCAGCACTAGGCCCCCTTCTCATCTTCCTAGACACCAGCTAGGAAAGGGGGTCTCCCGCAAAGGTCCGTGAGGGGCTCCTACCAGCTCGTCTGGCTGCAGCAGAGCGGTCAGCCCCAAGTACTAGTGCCACTGATCGTCTAGGGGGTTTTAGTAAATGCCTGGCGACTTTAAGGGCTTTCTACCACAATTCAAGTAGAATACTTTTTTTATTTACATTATACCTCTTTTATAGATGAGGAAAAGCAAGGCACAGAGAGGCCAAATGACTCGGCCAGACTCCCTCTGCTGTGGAGTAGTAAGCTTGAAATTCAAACACAGGCAGCCTGACCAGGCCTGTGCCGAGAGCTGTTCCCCAGTGCCCCCGGACGCAGTGCGAGGGGGCAGAGGCACAGCAGATGTGTGGCGGCAGGGCAGGGCCCAGGAGGCTGTGCTTCTGTCCCCTCCACAGCCAGGGGCCGTGGCGAGGCCACCCAGATGGCACTCACCTGCCGATAGATTTTGCCCTTCTCCAGGCGGGTGATGCGGTCCCAGTGCAGGGAGCCCTTTTCATCGAGTTTTCTGAAAGGCCTGGTACGGGGTGGGGAGGGGACGGTAAAGGGCTGGATTTCCCGTGTGGGACAGGACTGGTGGGGGGGGGGGGCGGCAGGCACCTTCCCCACCTGCTCACATGTGCCATTGGCCGACAAGGGGGTGTCTCTACCCCAAGCACGCAGGGTGCTGAGCAAAGGCCAGTCCCCACGCCCCGGCCCCATCACCCCTGCTAGGCCCATACTTGCGCCGGTCAGTGAAGAAGCTGGGTTTGTCTGCCTGGACGATGACCACATCGAAGAGGTGACGCCAGTCGGGACCCACCATGTGCCGCATCCCCTTGTCCCTGGGCGGAGGCAGAGGTGGGGCAGAGGTGGGACAGGGAGCAGGGGGATGGGGTGGGGTGGGGGTGGGACGGGGCGGAGGGAGGCCCCTCCCCCAGCCCACCTGCTCCCTCCTCCCCACCACGGGCAGCGGGCAGCAGGCAGCTCACACGAAGCTGAAAGGGCTGTTGGTGATGAGGAACAGCTGCTTCCCATGCGCCACCAGGCGGCTCAGGACAGCGAACGTCTCGTCCCCTCTCAGGATGTACTTCTCTAATGGGGAGATGGGTCTGTGAGGGCCAGCCCGGCGCCCTGCCCAGGAAGCTGCAGTAGGGGCTGCCACGGTCTACCCTTACCCATATCCCGCTCGATCCACTGGTACATGAGGCCCTTCACGTGCACGTCTCGAATGGCATCCTGGGGGCAGCGGAGGGACAGTAAGGGTGCAGTGGGACCTAGGAAGCGGGCCCTGCTGTGGCCGACTTTACCTTCCCTGCCACCCTGAGAGGCCAAAGGTCCTCACCGTCACGTCCTTGTAGAGGTGCGCCTGGTCAAACTCCAGGCTGTGCCCCAGGAAGTGGTCTACCACACAGGACAGCAGGGCCATCTCCGGCAGCGAGAAGATGTCCATGAACTGCTTGATGGAGGGACCCTGCAGAGGGGGCCACCACCTCAGCAAGCCCCCGCCCCACCCCCCCCAGCCCTGGAGACCAAGGGCTCTGAATCTGCCCTGCCATACTGGTAGAGGGGCACGGGCTGCGGGTCAGGGCAGGCCCACCAGGGTGTGGGCCCCCGTAGTGAGATCACTGTGCTGGCCGCCCGCGGCGGAGGCATATGGAGTGAGTACCTTGCCGTAGAAGCCGCTCATCTGGTACAGTGGGATGTGCTGGGTGCCCCCATATAAATCGATCACCTCCTCATCAGGCACAGGCTGGAGGCCCCTGGGTGGGTGTGCAGACATCATGAGTCCAAAGTGGTCCTGAGCCAAGGACACAGTATAGTTGGGGGTGGGGGGACAGCAGAGTAAGGCCGGGCAGTCTGCACTGACCTGTAGGCCGTTCCCAGCTGCACGTAATGGAAGGCGTCGATCTTCATCAGAAGGCTCTGGGAATGCCAGAGGAGTGGGATGGGTGGGGAGAAAGGGGTCTGCATTGGCCCTGAGCCAGTCTCTGTGCCCAAGCCCCGATGGGAAGGTACCGAGGGGATCATGTGCCCATTGGGAGGAAGCTACAGCTTTGAGGCCAAGGGGGCGGCCCCTCCGTTAGAGGAGGTGGTGCCGGTACACATCTAGTTAGGAGGGGCCGCTGGAGTCTGTGGCCCAGCCACTCACCTTCTGAATGTCGTAGTGGAGGCCTCGGATGGCAAAGCTGGGGTCATAGTCATACTTCCGGATCCCCTCTGGGTACTGTCGGGGGGAAGTGGGCCAGGCCTGAGCCAGGAGCACTACCAGACCTCTGGCGGGGGCAGCCGCCTCAGGGGACCCCCATGACTCCGCCTGGGATCTCTCCAGCACCGGGGCTACCTGCCTGGCCGGCCTCACCTTGTAGTGCTCAATCAGGATGTCACGGGCAGCACTGAAGATCTCAGGGTGCAGCGCGTCTGCATACTGGGCCAGCGTGTAGTCGTAGTCGAAGCCGTAGACTTCAACATCACGCAGGCTGATCTCGTTGTTGGCGTAGATGGCCGCTGGGTTCAGGAGACTGCAGACCTCGGGGGGCAGGAGGTCTGGAGGGAGGAGATGCAGGTATGAGGAGGAGGACGGACACAGTAGCAGCAAATGGTTACTGAGCGCTTTCCAGGTGCCTAGGCCTGGGAGCCTCATGAAACCACCCAGGATGGGTAATCTTAGCCCCAGGCTGCATATGGTCAAACTGAGGCTCAGAGAGGCCACTTGCCCAGGGTCACATGGTTGGGGTAAGGCAGAGCTGGCAATGGGCCAAGGCCCGGCTGGAGCTCCTAGCTGTGGGTCTTGGGTTACACCATTGCCTGCAGCCCAGCAGGTACACCGAGTCCAGGTTTCCTCCAGGCTCCCATAAGGCCCATCGGAGTCATGGCTACGCTCAGACCCTTTCCACATTGCCTGCAGCCTGGGCTGGGGCTGAGAAACATGACGGGACTGGGGGGTACTGGGCAGCTCCTCTGTCACTCGCACT